GCATTTCGAAACCGAAAAGGGTAAGATAAGCAGTAAGTAGGAAAAGAATGATCTCATAATGGAGAATATAACATTTTTCATAGGTGAAATATCAAAATATTATTTATATTACGAAATTATATATATATAGTTCTAGCCACAATATTTTTAGATCAAGTGGTTTACCGATACTATTAATTTTTAATAGTGATTTATGGGAATTCGAATAAAAATTCTAAATATAATTATTTTAATCACATTTATGATATAAGTATTATAAATAATAAATAATAATATAATAGTTATAAAAATAATAATAATTAATTATAAATAATACTATAATTTTGTGCTATCAAAAATAATTGTAATCTTAAATAGAGTTATCAAAATTCAAAATAATCTTTTAAAATTAAAGATAATCAAATTAAGTCAAATCTTGAAATACTTAGTAAATAATTTATAAATTTGGATCGACAAATTTTATTTTATTTTTATCGTTACGGTATCACAAACCCTTAATATTATAATTAATACTTAACATAAATGCGCTAATTTTATTTTAATATCAAATTCATTGTATTTGGTAAATAAAATTAAAAAAATTTTCAGCTTCTATTTAAAAAATTACTATATATAAAATGTAATATACATAAATGTTTATTTTAAAAGTATGACCAGATTTTATAAGTAAATATACAATTCGATTGAAAAATAATTAAAATTTTTATTAATAATTAATTATTATTATTATTATCAATAATGAATTTAAAAAAATGAAATATTAATCAGAAGGAATTAAATCAAACATACGATAAAAATCTTATATAAGTTGTCTCAATTATAACAATGAAATTAAAATTGAATCATTATACCACCAAATAAAAAAAAATCGAAATTCTAGACCCATATCGGTTAACGAAAATCGGTTAACAATTATGGCTTGAATCGATAATACATGTAATAAATACTTCATTAATCTCATACGAAATTACTTTAAAATAAAATTTTAATAGATTTACAAAACACATATTTTTCTCCGAGTATATAAGTTGCACTAATCGAAAAAGAGTCAAAAACTAATTCACGTAACGTGTTGGGAGACTTTTATAAAATTTGTATTTCAGTGAAGTGCAAGCAACATTAACTCTGGAACTTTTACTTAAACTACCACTTTACTCAACTATTTACTCTTCGTTTATTATAAAACTTAGTGAATCTGCTTACTCAGTTTCACTCTCTTCTTCCATCTTTCTGCTTCTTTGACTTTATTGCTAGTTCGCTTGCTCTTGACTTCTCTTTCATTACATTTTTTTCACAAAGAATATCAAAATTACCAACGATTCTGTTGAAAAATTCATGTTTTAACTTTGGTCTTCTGTACCAAATCAAACTCCAGCCACGTATGCAAAGTACAAATGTTACTAATTTGAAGAAGTGGTAGGTCAAGAAGTAATAGACATTACGTCAAATAGCAACACGAGCATATGCAAGATATTATATATATATATATATCCATTCACCTAAATTATCCCATCCGTAGTCTTAAAAAGAACGGAAAAAATGTGCCTTTTCTATTTTCTCGACACGCGAGAGTTAAGTGGATATATCGGCGGGTTATATGTGAATTCACAATCTAGTATAAGAATATAATGCACCATTGCTGTTTCCAATGCTGTTGCTACTACATGTGCTACTGCCGCTGTAATAGCATTTTGCGTTAAAGCACAATTTCCATCTAGGTTTCCTACTCGTTAACGAAAAGCTCAAGATACGCAGGGCTTTCTCACCGATTCCATTAGCCTGACCTCCACATAGCTTCAAATATATATTGCATAATAGTGTGCTTCGAACTCTCGACAATAAGACGAGAAATTGCAAAGAAACGGAAACAAAGAAAATGGTAGATAGGAAACAAAGGTGTGTTAGGGGAGGCGGCGAAAGGGATAGGATTTTATACAGAAAGACGGAAACAACAGAATGAGAAACGTAACGAAAGTGTGAAAAAGAAGGAGAAAGAAAGTGGAAACAGATTGTTACGGTATATAATACTGAGGGAGGAATCTAAGGAGAGATAAATGAAGGAGAGCTGCTGCTAGCGAACTCGGCAGGAAAGCTTTAAGAAATTCTATTATTTCGAAAGTAACTACGAGAAGGCACGCCAAACATAACGGGAAAGAGAGGAAAGCTAAAAAACAGAAGACGACGCATTGATACTTCTCGTAGAAGCTATTCGTTATTAATCAATGGGAGTGTCCATTATTATGAAATACTTTACTAATGCTAAGTTCTTTTTTATCAAAATACATTTCTTATTTAAATAAATACTTAGTAAATTTTATTTACTTTTAGAATTAAAAATATTTCGTGTGTAATGTTATTGGAAGATTTTAATTAAATTTCCTTATTGTTTTATCAAAAGATGATACATTCATTATTTATATATTTTCACTCTTATATTATATAAAATAAAATAAAAAGTAATTGTCATAATATACTATCTAATTACGCTTATATTTAACTTATATATTAATGTAACAAGACGCAACTTTTCCATCAACATAATATAAAACACTAAATTAAAATTGTAATTAGATTAAAATACAGAGAACTGTAGTAATTAATAATATAATATTAAAATTTTTATTATTTTTATTTATTCTATTGTATTTTATTTAAATATCATTGCAAAATATAAACTACACTGATGAAAGTCTTAAATTTATACAATTAAACAGACGTGTAAAATAAGTCATGTATACCTAAAATATTAGTGTGAAAATACCACAAGCTCAATTTATTATAAAAACTGTTACAAAATACTTACATAAATTTCATTTAAATACTACAATTTATACAACCCCATCCAATGAGTCTCATCTGAAATCTATTATATTTTCAACGGTACTATGATTAAAAAATGTCCACTTGTAAAATTTCCATCATACGCCTTCCATAATGAAAAAACAGAGATATTTTTTTAACTATTGCATTGTTTGTTTATCTTCTTCTGAAGAAAATAGTCATCTGGATTAATACACTACTTTAAGATAAGTATATAATAGGCCCTAGTAACAATTAAGTTACAATTATATGACAAATTGAAAACGCAGGGGGGAGGGGGTAAATCACTCCAGACCTACCAAAAAGTAATTAACAATGAGAAAAATATGATACCTAGATGTACTATAACTTGCTACATATTCTACTTGTTTTATAATAATGATTACTGTTAGATCAATAAATAGAATACAGAATATGGATAAAATTTTTATTTTCTTTCGGTAAATACAGACTGTATAACGTCCAACAAACTGCAGGTGGTTCATTCTGGCTTTATCCTCAATCTCAATACAGACATCAAGTAACAAACACTAGAATAAACATTTCTTTGTAGTTTTAACAGTATTGTATATTGCTATAATATAAGATGATACAAATTACTAAATCGAAAAATTTCTTTATATATAAGTAATGTCAATATAAATAAGCATTACACAAAACATTTTAATATTTATAGTGTATTTCAATAAAGCTCTCAAATATACTTACAAAATTAAGTCGCTTTGTTTCATGTAAATTCATATATTGGTATCAGTTTGATAACTACTCTATTTACTTATTTGAAAAGATAAGAATAAAAATAAAACATTCTGTAGCATTGTCTAGAATACAAAGAACATTAACTTTTAACATGATAATTTGTATATCTTGACGAGCTATGAAAGTAAAAAGACTAAAGTATATATGTTAATGTAAAAAATATTTCTAATATTTTAAGAAAATGCTTTAATCTAACTACAACACCGTTAATATAATTTAGATTCAATATTAGTTAAATATAAATCGCGAAATATTTACATATACATTTCTATAGGCTAATTATTATTAAATTAAAATTTATAAATTAAAGACTACAAAACTAAAACATTTGACTAGGTTCATAGTAAAATTAGATTAACAAAAAATGTAATTATCCGTTAAAGATCCAATTATCTAAAATAATTATAAAATTTACTGATCTATTATTATTATTATTATTTTTTGATAAATTTCAATGATTATACAAAAGAATTTTTATTAAAATAAATAATAACTAAATACTTTTTTAGTTATATATTACATAATTGCTGCAAATAAATATCATTGAAATAGTGTATTTAAGAATTCAATTGACTGATTTAAAAATATGGCAAATATAATTTGACTAGTTTATAGTTGAATAATATAATTATATAATATAATTGAAGATATATTTAATTGCAAAATTTTTTTATTTTAAGTATTAAATGGATTTACAGTACATCAACGAAATTATTAACAATATTAGATGTTATATATTTCTTGAAGCAGAGTATAGTGAAATGTAATCAAGTGTATATAACATTATAATAAATGAATTGAATATTTGCATACCCTAAGTAATTTAATAAATATTTTGTATGGAAGTTTCTTGCACTTTTTTTGTTTATAAAAAACTTTTACAAATACATAATTATGCACTTTGGTAAGATTTGACTTAAAATTATTGATTTGACGAAAATATATTACCCAGTCAAAATCTAAATAAATATGGAAAATTCATTTTCATTTTCATAAATATCATTTTCAAAATGGATACCAGTTTTCATAATGACTTAAATATACTGAGAGTATGGTATTTTTAAACTCAGATTCTAAAGCTTTTCATTTTTTAAATTACTTTTATTTAAACTGGTATCTATTTTGAAAATTATATTTATCCAATTGATACTAAAATTAAATTCTATATAAAATAAATATATAAATAAAATAAATAAATATTAATTACTTGAAAAATCATTCAGCAATATCAGAGAGTACAAGTATAGCCCAATAATAAATTTTTCGATGTTCATTGTATTATATCAGCATTTATAGTATCATTCATAATACCTCAAAATAACTAATAAGTAAGAAATGCAATTACTTCGTGCGCAACATAAGGATGCAAGATACATATATCACGGTGCAAATTCACATTCTTCCAATGTTATTTTTTTCAGCTTTCGGAGAGGAATAAGATCCAAAGCACCGTCATGAGAGAGTGAGTGAGAGGGAGAGGTTGTCGAAAATAAACTCTTGGCAACTCGATGCGCCATGCAGCGACGATGGCGACTGGATATTTTCGCCCCGTGCCAACATCAAGGGAATGGGAACACGCGACGGAAGTCTCGGCGGCGCCGCCCAACCCACACCCACAACGCGGAAAGGAAATACGAGAAAGAAGCTGACGGCGGCCGCTGGAGAGGCCCGTCTGGAAAAGCGTCCGTTAAATGACGACGCGTGCTTTTTTGGCGAGGAAGAGACGCGCACACCTTCGTCATTAAATCGTTTCTCTCACTCTTCGCGCGCTGCTTATTCGAGCTCCTATTGGGCTTCGAGATTTTTCATACATGGATAATGATGCGAAGTTCACTCACGTCCAGGTACATCTAAGGTCACCGATGAAAAGTGTTCTTTACTTATACTAGATTAAATTACTCAAGCTGTCGTATTTGTCTAGATTTAAAAATATTCTCCGACTATTTTGATGCTTTCCAGTACTTATTATTATCAATATATTGCATCGATGAGTTTTCGCAGAAGTGCCTGGATTACGAAATGAACTGTATAATGATTATTCAGTAAAGCCATATCATTTCCATTTATATTTCGAAACATAATTTCTTATTTACGTATCGATACACAAAAAAGTATACAAGAAATATTCTGGCGCAAATTGAGCTTCATAAAGAATAAATCATTGACTGAAAATTTTCTTTATTCGTTTATCTTAATGTAAGGGCACTTGGGTAGAAAAATTGATCGATAATTTAATATTATGCAAAACGCCAAATATTAGATTTATTCTTAAAAATAATATTTTGCAACGATATTTAACAAAAAATTATTAAATTGTACAATCAACTAGGTGCGTTTATATTTTTTTTTATAATTAACATTTTTCTGCAGCTTAATGAATTAATTCATCTAATATAAAATAAATACTTTCTATTAGTATAAAATCTTGGATTCTAATATATATTACTATTATTGCATATAATGTGTTCATTAATACATCGTTTTTTAAAAATAATAACATCTATAATAATGAATATATATTATAATAACTTTTATAAATTAATTTGTAGCATATATTTACTAAAAGTATTTAAAAGAATACAATAATATTTATGTATGAAGTTTGTAAATAAAGTTTTATTTAATACGCTTCAAAAAAGATTCAAAAATTGAAAATATAAATGGGACAAAATAAAAATTTTAAATGGGCTGAATCAGAAAAAAGTCTTATAACTAAATTACAAAGCCAAATTTCCTAAAAATCTTATTATATGCCGAATTTAACAATAGAATCTAATTCTTGCAATAAAAACAGAGTGCAAAGTGAATTTCACACTCAACGTGTAATGAAGAGAGCTAATATGAAGTACGAAAAGGAATTTCCGAATCTGCCTTGAACCAATGTACAGAGTTGAGATTCATATTCGAAACAGCAATATAATTTTACCAAGCAAAAATTCATTAAGAGTCAAAATAAATAAACGGGAATTCGGCAAATTTTATTATATTTTTTAGTAAAACTTTATCCATAACTTAGATTTTGAGTTAAAATATAAATTATTTTATATTCAAATATTCAAACTTTTTATAAAATCTCAAATTACGCAGTACGTAAAAAATTTGACTAAATTAAAAATAAAATACATATACGAGCGTGCATGTATGCGCACGCGCGCATGGATGAATATATCGATTTTATTAGTTTCAATCTATTCAAAACTTTATTTAAACGAATAGCGATTTCTGTAACTTTTAATGAACGTATCATTAATATCTAAATTATTTATGTTAATAAATATTTATTTTATTTTTTACATTGTCGTTAAAAATTATGACCTAAAATTTAAAATATTGTATTTTTTACTATTTCACGACATTAAATGTATTCTGTAAATTTCTTAAATTTCTTATATGCACATTAAATATATGTAATACATCAATATATTTTTAAATAATAAATTCGGTATACTACAACAGTTCAAAAGAGTTCGTTCATAAAACAGTTCATAAAATTACATTTTAAACAAAACTAATTACATTGTAAATATAAGTATACAACTGTTGGTATTGTAGACTTATATTATCATTAGAGCTAAAGCCACAAGTCGGTATTGAATTTTTACAAATTTTAGATTCTGTATAACTTTCTGTAATATCAAAACAACATTTTTATATTAACAATTTTATATTAAATTTTAATATATTATGTGTATTATTATAATCTATATTTTTAACCATTGACAAAATTTATGACAGTATATCTTAACTAAAATCTGAACTAAACGAAATTTTGTTCATAACTAGTTAATACCAAGTTTATCATTTACATATATATATCATTATATGACTTATTTTTAACGTGCATCTTATGCATGAGAATAGATCTTTTTTATATTTAAGTATGATAAAAAAACATAAGAAAAATTAAAAATTAAGATGCCATTATCTAAAATTTCATCGTATGCTTATTTTATATGAGTTACTTATACCACGTACTTATACTACGTTGAATAATTGAATTGTCAATTTTATTTCTCTGTAAATATTTCTATAATATTCTATTTTTTAAAAAAAGTATATCTAATTATATTTCTAATAAAATTTATAAGTAAGATTCTTATGTTATGTAAGTAATTGAGAATTATTAATAGAATGAAAACATTCATACAATATATAACTTTAGCTATATACAAGCATCTTGCGTTAATTGAATTAATTATTGTTTCCATTTAACTCTATCTATTATAATTTCTCTGAATGACTATAATAATTATAATCTCAACATTAAATTTTCTATTACCAATTCTATTAAATTTTTTTACGTTTTACAATCTTTATAAATTTATAAATTTATAAATTATAATCTTATATTATATTAAATCTTTATAAATTCTATTGATATATCTGTTATATACGACTTACATAAAAAAAGATTATTTTTATAAATTTGTAATGGGTGAAACTAGCAACATTTAAGAAATCCACAGATAAATTTTAAAATTATTTTATTAAATAATTTAAATAAATTTAACTGTTTTCGTTTAAAATTCAGTATATCTGTTAATAGTAATAATAAACATAACATAAATTGAACGTGTCAGTAATGAACTAAAAATATAATTAAATTTGTCTTTTAATAATTAATAAAATAAATCGTATTGATTATTGCAATATAAAATTTTTCATTAATCTTCTTTATAATTCGTAAAAAAATCATCAATGAAAATGACAATGCATACACAAAAAAGTATTTTTAAATACCATCCTTACTCTAATACCTAAGTTAAGATTATCAGCGAAGACAGATTATTTAATTTCATGAATTTTATTTACTTTTAAATTTTGATATAATAATAAAGTAAAATTTCAATTATAATTAATAATAATAAATATTTTTAAATCAAATGTATAATCCAATAAATATTTATTTGGGCATAAAAAACATTTAAAAAATATTAAATTCTCGATATTAAAATTATATTAATACCTAAAATATCAACTAATTATTTCTATGCATAACAATTCTTGATTTATGAAATCATACTATAAAATATGTAAGTTGTTAATGACTACAGTTAATCTAATAGTATTCAACAGAAAACATTAAAGTTGATTGTATAAGTTAATATCAATTAGTAGAACTTAATAAAATTTTTATACTCATAGTGTTAATTTATAAAAAAACTAACTCAAAACAAATGTAAACTATTTTCTGAAGATCGAGAGAAACATGTGATAACATGAGTAGAGAGAAAATTTCACTTATCAAAAAATACAATACTACACTTAAAACATGTAACCATAGTATTATAAATGTCCGTGCAAGCTTACTAGTGCCGCTGAATTTAAATTGAATAAACCATAGCTCTTTTTGTTGAAAGTAATTCAACAAACAGATTTATAAAAACTTTATATACCAAAACTAGATAACTTTCTTTCCCAACAAATTTAATTCTAATCGATAAGAGTAGAAAACTGTACCGTTTGAAAAAATTATTGGTATATTAAATAAATATATTTATTATCAGAATTAATAAATCAAGCTAACATGACAAATTTATCTAAAATATGTGTAATTATAATATGTAAACTTATAAAGATTATAAATTATATAATAATTAATTAAATGAATCAAGATTTTTTATAGCTATTTTTCTATGTGCTCATAAAACTTACCCAATTACATCTTTGTCAATCGCTACAGTTTTCAAAAATTAAAAGAATAAACGAACTAAAAAATTTCATGTAATTCGAGGACCACTATTATAGTGTCATGCATACACAGAAATGATTATAAAATATTTAATATTTAATTTATGGTATTATATATATATACTAAAATAATTACTTCAATTTTTCTATTTACTAATGATTTAAACATTCTGTTGTATTTGTAAAATAAAATATTAATTTATATTTTATAAATTTTTATACACAATATTTTACAGATATCTTTGTACATAAATAAATTAACTCTTATCTATTTTTTGTTCATCTCCAATGAAAACAAATGTATATATAATTATCAGTCTTTATGACTGCCTTTGAAGAATTATTTTCATAATAATTTTGAGTTATTACATAATAATAATAAATAAATCAAAAACATTCAATAAATAAATTATATTGTATTTTATTTATCTGATGCATTATTTATTTATTTATTGCGATATAGATATTACTAATGATGAATGGAATAACTCAAAATTATTTAAAATTACAGCATATTATAGAATTATTCCAGTTACACAAACGTTTATTACGTCTACCCTTGTCAAGATATCGTAATATAATGTCTTGTAAAATATTCCATACATAGATAGATTCCAAAGTTGAAGGAAAATTTCGTTTATCCTGGTCCATGCGCAAATACCAATATAAAAATACCGTACGAATTGATAACTGTGAATAATTCAATTTTTTAAGAGTAAAAATGGAAATAAATATTCTCTCTTCTAAGCCAATATTATACTTACGTTTTTATGTCACGTGTCCAGACGACATAATGACGTCTTAAAGAATAAGCTAGTCAATCCTCCTATCTACTATCATGTTCGAGAAAGAAAAAATTTATTAAATATTGGTCTAATAGCGTTTTCAATGAATGGATTTGTCTTGTAATAAACATTAAAAGGATAGGATGACGACTGAATTATAGTTTTCCGAAAGTATTATAACAATTTTACTAAGCGCTATTTAGTGAATCATCGAAGATAGTTATGAATTTTATTTATAATCGTTTTCAAACTAAGTAATACATAATGAAAAATGTAAGAGAAATTGGATTTACTAAATTTTATGATAAAAATGATATAAATAACATATATATATACTGAGTGAAATACATTTGATAAATGCAAACGGAATGGAAGCATATGAATAGTAGAAAAGATACGGACTTTGTATAGTGATTATGATAACAAAAAGGCTTAAAAATAATGCTAGTAGATCTGAAACTAAAATTCTATAATTAATTACCAAACATTACAAGTATGAAAATTTGTGAAAATAAAAATATTGTACTGTAATGATAATTCAATTCTTTATTTTATAAACGTTGAGTATATATATACGTTAACTAAAATATTTAGAAATTTTTTGTAAATTCTATGTTTTCAAAATTATAGTTATATTTAGTAAAAATATTTTATTGAAAATTATTCATAATAAAAATATCAATCTGCTGAATTATATAAGTAGTTACAACATTAAGTATAACTGAATAATTACAGAATCAAACAATCTAGAATAAGTGATATATAAATTGATTTTGAAATATATAAAATATGTCTATGTTTTGAAATTTACTGCTTATCAGATTAAAAAATTATTTTTTCTTTTAAATACATTTAAAGATCAATTTCAGTATTAAATAACAAATGATAAAATAAAATATATTCCTTGAGATTCAAATATTTTTTAGAAATAACAAAATTTGTAGAGTTAGCTCACCATTTCACACATTTTATATTGAAATATGAAATCAATAGTATATTTATATATTTCATTTCTTTTTTATATTACTTAAATACTTCAACATAATTTGTAAAAATACAAAAAGAGCCTAAAGTTATCTTGTACTCGATTTTTCAATTTCAAGAAATATCAAATAAAATGTATTTTATAATATTGTATGCTTAAAAAATCGTTATATTATATACAGATGGAGATAAAGAAAGATAGATAGATAGATACATAGATATATAGATCGATAGATAGATAGATACATACACACACACACACAGACACACATATATATATATATATATATGTATATATAAAAGAGAGAGAGAGAGAGAGAGAGAGAGAGAGAGAGAGAGAGAGAGAGAGAGAATTTAAATAGTTTGATTGAGGAAACCGTACATTCAAGGTACATTTAAAACTTGAAACAGCTATCATCGAAGTATAATTTTAAGAATTACAGTTGTATAAAATATATACAAAGTATTATAATAATAAATAAACTTCACCTCTGTGAAGTAAAAAGTGTATGTAATTATAATTGCTTTATATAAAAAATTCCAAATAATATTGATTTCATAGAATTAATATACACATTGTTATATTTTTTTTACAAAAAATAATTTATATTTTTATTTTCACATTTTTGAAAAAGGAATGATAATGAAAAAGATCGATTCTGAGATCAAGAAACTATTTCTTACTAAAATTAATGATTAAAAATTTCATTTTATTCATATAAATTTAAATTCTCGTAAATTAATTTCTTACTAAGTTAAATTTAAAAATATATATTAATGTTACATATAGTTTAAATATTGTAAATATGAAAGATTGCAAGTATAAACCGAAAAAAATTTTTTTTTAATTTTAAAATAATATTCCATTGATCTAAAAAAAAGGAAATTTATTATTTAAAGAAATATTTAATTTGACCTATTCTATGAATCAATTTTTTGTATATTGCAGAAAAAATATGAATAATCAATTTTTGATCATTAATATCCTATCTCATCAAAAACCAACAATGTGCTACACATATTATATAATATTGTGTGTATCAGGCTTATATTAATTAACCTCTGATTTCAAACTTTTTTTTCATTGCAAAAAAAGTAATATTAAATATTAAATTGTTATTAAGAAAACATTTTTTAATTGGGAAATATTATACAATACATTTCAATGTTTTAATTTTTATTAAGTCTTCTATTACTTATTTATTCTTTTGGATGCATTAGTATAATACTATTTATAAGTAATTAAAAAATATAGGAGCAATCCGTAATAATACAAAATAATTATATAATTTTAATTGTTGAACAATTATTGATAAATATTTAAACTTGTCTAGTTATATAATTAATAAATTAAATTAAATTGGTATCGTTAATTTGATTTTATTACTAATATAATAATGCTATTTAATTATGTAAGAAAAATATAAAATAAAATAAAAGTCGAAAAAACATGCATTAATATTTCATTCTTAAAAAACACGTGATTGTATATCCTAAATTGAATATCTAATAAAAAATAATAATAACTTCTAATCCACAATGTCCTACTGTTCAAATGATATACAAAATATATAAGATAATTTATTTTAAATTGATAAAAATATTACAGTTCATTGTATTCGAAAATGAATACACTATGATTTTGCGGATTAGTTATTAATCACCATATTTGTAACTTTAGCGGATTACAGTAGCTTTTAAAATGTATAAGTGAAATTATAAAAATTAAATAAAAACCTCTAACTCGCCTAAAATTTTAGAATATAATTCAATTGGTATCTATTATTTACAAAGTTTGTTCTGTTGAAGTAACGCAATTCTTAATGGAATTGATTTTACACAAGATGAGACTATATAGTGCTTACATAATATGATATTTAGAAACAAGCAAAGCACTGTGTATTAAAGACAAATTTTAGTCGCACATAATATATTTCCATAGATTAAATGGCGTTAAAACTAAAACTGTTTATTTGTATGTACGTATAAATTTGAATTTATAAATTTAAATTATGAAACTTGTTATAAAATATGCGTAAGCTGGATGTACCTTTTATAACATATTATTAGTATATTGTTTAAAAAGTTATTGAAGAATGATTTGTTATTCTAATATATCAATACGTTTTAACTGCTAATAGAAAATACTAGACTTATTTATTTTGAAATGAAGTCCTAATAAATTAGAACCACTTGTGTATCAGTGAACAATAAATCACTTTCTTTAATTTATGAAATATATATTTTCTTTACAATTTGCCATATTTATTTCCAACAATACTCTTGCATTATTACAACATTTGAAAATAGCAATTGAAATTTCTTTGATATTTTGCTTTATTAAATACTGATATATAAAATAAGAAAATTGTATTAATTGAAATAATTTAGATTACAAATTAAAAATAAAAATAATTAATCTACTATTAGTAGTGCTAAAAAATATAAAAAAAGCATATAATTTTGAAATTAATGTGATCTCACTTATTAATTTAGAAAACTATAAATTTTCTCATAGAGAAAGACTCCAAAAAATATTGATTACATATAGTGACAGTTATAATTATATATAATCTAATTTCTAGAAGCAAATATAATATTTGTAACTTTTAAGTATTCTTATAACTAACTATAGTTTCCATTTTATGAAGAGATGTAGAAAATGTTCTAAGTTGTACTTCTTGACTATTTGCTATAAATACAGGACTTGTTTCATCCCATTCCTTTGGAGTATCACATTCTGGTATTGTATATGTCAAAATATCAAAAGAGCACAAACAATCAAGAAGAGGTAAAAAACTGACAGTTCCTGAAATAAATAAATATAATTACAAATAATATATTTCACTTTTTAAACGTAAGATAATATAAAATCTTAAACTTATACCTGTAATTTGACGAATAACTTCACGGATTTCTTTCTGTATTGTTTTAATATCTTTAGTTCCAATATCTGATAAATTTCCATCACCTTTACCATTTGATAATTCAGTTTCATAATCTATTTTAAAATCCCACTTTTCTAAAACCTCTTTTGTATTTACATTTGAAATAATTAAAGTTACTTTTCGTACTTTCTTTTGTATAAGCCATTCTTGAATTTGACTAAGTACAACATTAAAAAAATTAACAATTTGTAAATTTGTAGACATTAATATGCATAATCCAAAGTGCTCAGCTGGTTCAAATGTTTCTGGTGGATAAATACCACGTTGATATAAAATATTGTTAATTCCATATACTATAATATAAAAACATTCATGCATAATTATATCTAATAAATAAATATCATTTGTTTTAATATTTTCTTTAATGTCTTACAAAGATATTGTTTTACCAACTCTGCGGATCCTTTAAGTGTGATACATTTAGTTTTCTGCTGTTGTTCTGTCATAATGACACGATCAATATAATATATTTAAAATTGTATATTAAATCCCTTCAATTTATAATTCAATTAATAAGTAATATCCTTCTCAACGTTTTTAAACCGTAACCCTGACATTCAAGGTTATGATATACCTTATATATACCTTTCGTTAAAATTTGAAATCCTCAAATAATATTGCATTACTCACAGAAGTTGATAAGAAATACTGTCCTATTGGTAAAACCGACATTTATGATTGACCAATCATAGTATAAACACGTTGACAGCAAGTAACGCATGCCCCAATATAACGAAATTATTGATGAATTTGAAGCTAATAATTAACTTCCCTTCATTTAAACGTAACAATAGACAATTTATAAAAAAATCAAATAAACTCTGTCTATAATAATTGAAAAATATAAAATGTATTTTATTTTTATTTTATAGGAAACATAACCGTACTTTTCTTTATAAAACAATTTTCTTTAGTTTAATGTATTTTACTATAAAACATATATTTTGTTTTATTTAAAACTATTGAATTTCTTATAAAATTATTTAAAAAAATAATAAGATATATTAATGTAAAATATTTTTATATAAATAGAAACGAATGATTAGACAGCTAAAAGCAGCTTTTTCTGGAATCAATTCAGAGACATTAAATAATGTGCACCATTTATCTTGTAGTATTATTATTACTTATAGTATAATTTTTACTACAATTATTGCAAGAATAAACAAAATAATTATTAAAGATTCATCCGAAGGACTGATTTTCATTGTACATATAAAAATATGCATTTGGATAAACACAAAGTAAATTACAACACATAACAAACATTACTTATAAACATTATTATTTTTAAAATACAACTTTTTATATAATTTAGTTTGAATTGTTTCTTTAATACCAAATAAATTCATCTTTAACATTCTTTAACAAACATCAAATTTTTATTTTTTTCTCTTAAAATTCATATAAAAATGTTTCACAGACTCACTTAACAATTGCATATAATACCTTTTGATCTAAAATCTATTCTATCGACTTTCAGTAAGGAGAAATATTTTGCAAAGGAATAATTTTTTTTTAATTTCTCAGAACTAATTCCAGAAAATAATTAAATTAAAAAAATTACTTAGTTTCCATAAAAAAAGTAAATTTATTATTGCATTTATTTATCTTTGCGCTGACTGCTTAAGCTGTCATGCATTTTCGATACAACTGCTTCCACTAATTCTGGTATTAGAACCCCGTTAACATCTATGAAATTGGCGACTGATTTTGTAACTGATGTTTCATTTACAACACCAGTGACTTCATTTTTTACATTTAAAACTAAATTATATTTATCATCATACTTCTTAAGATATGAACTTGCTTCCAAAATTAAATCTGGATCAAACCCAGCTGGATCCCTAAAACATATATTATTAAATGTTATTTATAGAAACATTATATTTAATGGAAATAATAAATGTACATATATTTTATCAATATCTTGTGTTTAATAATTCTATGACATTTAAATTTAAAACAATTTTAAAATTTTATTGTTCTAATTATACAATTTCATAATATTAATCTGTTTAAAAATAATAGGTTTCTAAAAGATTTATATTACAGAAATTTATATTGACATAAATAAATTTTAATATATTGTTAACATTTTTTACCAAAGTATAATTTATTATGTACTATTACTTTAAAACATTATACCTTTGTATTGCAACTACAAAGATTCCTTTCTCCTTATATGTTATATATAGAGTCAAAAGACCCATAAATATAAAATATACTATAACACAAACTAATAGTACTGGTCTGGATGCAGGAAAAGGATGTAGGTAATCCCAAATTAAGGCTATTAAAGCAACGATAACTGCAACTCCACATTGTGCTAATCGTCCATTCATCAATGTAAAATCTTCTATATAATTATACTTTTTAATCAAAATTTTTCTAACAACATCATCTAAGGCATTTTTTACTGCTGATCCATCCCACTTATTAACTTTGATTATCTGTAACATTATTTTAATTTAAGATTACCCTCTTCACATGAAAAGAAAAATATTATATGCAGACACTTTTTATATTTTACAAAAAATTATTTATTCATCAATCTAATAACATTAAAAATTTAAATAAATAAAAGTTAGTATATTTTATTTTTTCTAATTTATAATAAAATTATTTAATATTTATGTATCAACACTTACAGTAGGATCGTCTTTTTGATCTCTCTTTGAAGACATATTGTACCTGTCAGCAGAAAAATGTAAGGATCAAAAATGTATAATCGTTTTTCCACGTCAAAACTTGACCGTATATCCGGTTAAGGCTTCCGTTAACTGTGCCAAAAGTAAAATTACTTTAAATGTTTTAGGAGCACTAAAGTAAAATAAAGGCGCTTTTTCAATTAATTAATGTTAAATTATACATTTTCGTAACTTTCTTAAGTCATTCCTTATAATATTATCTTTTAACTATGTACAAAAATTATATTGAGTTTAGTTTTAATCGAAAATTATCGAATATACCTTTAATGTATAGGTTGAGTCAATTGAAAATATGCCTTCTACTTGTATGGTTAAGTTCGCTCAATAAATTTTTTCTGGTGTAATTTATTTTATTTTATAGTCACAATAGTTATTTCTAAAAAACGGAAAATGCCCCGTAGTATAATGGTGACTCAAAATTTGTCCATAACAACAATCCAATCAAAATTGGATTTTTTTTGCTACGTATGTAAAAGAGCGCTAATATCAAAAATAATAATTTAAGTAATATTCGTCCATGTTCATAGGGACACAAAATTGGAATAAATTTTTAAAAATAGAGGAAATAGAGAGTATCATATAATAAACTTGTATTTATGAAAATAAATGTTATTTAACAATTATTTGACTATGTAAGATAATTTAAATTCAATATTAATTTTAGTACAGCATCATATATTTAAAATATAAAAGACATGAATTAAAAATAAGCAAAATTACTATTAATTAAACATTATTATTACAATGATTTACTTAAATATGGTAGGTTTTAAATATATAAAACATTTAAACAATTAAATTATAGATTTTTCAGCGCGCAATCAGGCCATAATTACATTACGATAAGCTTTAGCAATAAGTAGATTTAACGAAATGTTAATATGAAAAGAATTAATAATCTTCCAATTTTACCATATGTTATAAAAGTATATCCTATGTAATAAAAGCATTCAATCATAAAAACAAACTTATATACATAATGAAATCCGGAAAGTCGAAAATTATATTTTGTGTATTTTGTGTTATCTTCTCACGTAATCTTATTAAATATAATAATTTTCTTAACTATTAAATTAAAATTCAAATATTTTATTATCTTTATAGAACTTTAAAAATAGAGTTAATTTATTATTATATTTCACATTTGCCCATATTTAACACTAAAAAGACTTGATAAATTTATATAAGTATAAATTCAACATATGGATATGACAATGATTGAATCCGTTATCTTTTATTCATCTATTAAGCTTTATCGAACGTCTAATAAATACAATACAATAAGATTTTTTAATTATACTATTAGACAAACTAATATTGTTTCCATTCTACAATTTCAAACCATTGTGCGCAAGACGAGTTACCATCAGCGCTCTCTATCTATAAAAATTATCCTCGAAATGAGAAAAACATAAAAATTATACTCGTCATGTAGCGTATATTACAAAACAAAAAATAATAGATAAAATGTTTTACATTTATAATAAACAAAGTAAAAACCTTTTGGTAAATATTGTTTGAGGGCATGTCTCTTTACTACTTTATTCGTCGATTGATTGCATACAGCTATTACAAAGCATTAGAATCTTTTGAAAATAAGTTTTTTTATTAATTATTGTACTACACATAAAATTGTAGTAATAATTCATGTTTATTAACATCAATACTTTCATAATTAAATAAAAAGTGTTAATAAATAAGAGTTGTAAATATAAGATGAATTCTAAAAACTAAATTCATTCGTTTCCAATTTATGCTATGCTGACATAATTCACATACAAAGCAGTATGACCACCTAACGGCTAGTGAAATTCCCCTTGATAACTCCTTTGGTAGTCTCGACTTGCCTTTTACGCTTTGCGTAGTGGTAAAGCATAATTTTCCAGGAGCAGACGGAGTGCGCGAGATAGAGGCACCAAAAAGAGTATGGCGACGTGGGGTGGTGAAAAATTTGAGGATCACAGTCATGCTGACGATATCGAGGCAAATTTGAATAATATTCTTGTGACACATGATTTACAAGATTGCCTCGATGACAGCCTTGATCTGCCCAGTTTTGTTAAAATTTACGGACAGTCCGACGATTTCGATTACGAAAAATATTCGGACGGTGATCCCCCCTACAACGAAAATCTACATGATGACAATACAGGGTATACAAGATGATCATAACTTCAATTTACTGTATCAAAGAATAATCAATTTCTTTATTAATTTACTGTCTTTGCACATTTGTCAGATACCTCCATCTACGTTGTGGACGTAAAGATATGTCTATATTTTTAAAATTTTTATCGTATATATTATGATACTTCACGGATATACTATACGTTTTTTAGCCATTCCTTATAAGGCTATTTCGAGTTTTGAAATTAGACCTATCTAATTAACACATCGTTTTTATGGATTTTAAAGAGAAATTAAAATTTTATATCTTAAGATATATATATATATATATATATATATATATATTCATTTCAATTTGTACTTACATTTTGTCCTGTTGGAATATCGTTTTATAAAATTTACAGTCCATTGAACTGAAAATTACAATTGTTTGTAATAGATTTTATTACTTAAAAAATAAGTATGAAACATTCTTAAGGAAATATAAAATGATATAAATATTTATAAGTATACTGTTTCTAAAAAACTTTTAAAATTAATTTGTAATATAATTTTGAAATCAAATTGTAATTTTAAAAATCTAATAAGAATCTATTATGAATAATAAATAAGTATAATATAATAAAATTATCTTCCAAATATAAAAATTTGATTAAATATATTTATATCCTGTTTGAATATCTATTTTGTTTAACATTGTCATATTTGTTTATTTTTAGATACATTCATCACACCATTAGTTCTGATGAAATTTATATGCGAATACATCCAGGCAACAATGATAGTATGCCAGAAGACCCTTCGCATGCAGTTATTACAATCGAAACCACAGATCCAGATACTAATCAAAAACATATTAGTCGATATACATGTGAATATGATGGCTGTTCACGTACTTACAGTACAGTTGGAAACCTGAGAACTCACATGAAAACACATAAAGGTATGTTTCACTATAAAAGTACAGAATTAGTTTTATATTTATATCTACAACAATAATGTATTTAAGTTTTAAATTCCTACTAAATCATTAATATACCTTCTTATTTATGCACTCTTTGGATTAAAAATATTGGTAAGTTAATAATATAAATAAAATTAGATTTCATTAGATTTTATATTACTTAATTTAATTACTAGTTTTATTAATTATATTTATTTAATTATATTTACATCAACTATCATTTAAATTTTCATCAGATAATTTCAATATATTTCATTAAAAATCTTTCGTATTTACAAATAGAATTATCATAATTTTCAGGTGAATATCGATTTAAATGCTCTGAACCAAGTTGTGGCAAAGCCTTTTTAACTTCTTATAGTTTGAAAATTCACATCAGAGTGCATACAAAGGTCAAACCATTTGAATGTAATCACAATGGATGTGAAAAGGCATTTAACACCCTATATAGATTAAGAGCTCATCAAAGACTTCACAGTGGCAATACATTCAATTGTGAAGAAATGGGCTGTGTCAAATTTTTTACAACACTTAGTGATCTTAAGAAACACATTCGTACTCACACTCAAGAGCGACCATACAAGTATGTCCTATAGAAGGATCATTATAAAAATAAATCATAATTTATGCGAATAGTTCATTATTGATTAGTACAATATAATTATTTAGATATAAAAAATACTCTATAATATCAAGAATGTATAAATTAAGTTTTATTAAAAAACATTCAAGTACTAAAATTAAAATTTATTTCTAACAATCTGAAATTATAATATATAATTATATATATATATATATATATATATATATAACTACTCAACAAACTTATAATTTTAGTTTATTTTATATATTAATTAATTTGACTTATTTATAGAATATTTTGAAAATTAATTCTGAAAAATTAACCTTTACTTAAAACTTTTAGATTTAAATTTTTTAACCAATCAAAAATTGGATATATTATTATATTCAACAAATTTATGAAATTATTATTTTAAGGTGCCGAGAAAAGGGTTGTGGAAAAGCCTTTACAGCTTCTCATCATTTAAAAACACACAGGAGGACACACACTGGAGAACGCCCATATATCTGCTCCTACAATCACTGCAAAAGGTCATTCACTACACCACATAGCCTAAAAAGCCATCTAAAAACTCATAAGAAACTCTCACAATCTGATGAAATTGTATGTATTTCATTAATTCTCGTACTCTTTTTATTTAATTATATTCTAAATTTTAGTAATTAAATCTATAATATTGTAATAAATAGTATTTATATTTTTTTAGAATAAAAATGAAGAAAATACAAATTTTAAAGAAGAGATTAATAATACTAATAGTATAGATATTACATCTGAAATCAGCCGAACTGATAACTTGGGACAAACTGTTAATAAAGTTCCTGTTGCTATTGTACTTTATTCTCCAATGGAGCTTTATGAACAAGGAACAAATATAGATTCAATTGAAAATCTTTCTAATAATGACTTACAAAATCTTATCAATAATAATGATAATTCAATACTTGATATTTTTCATCCCCAAAAAATAAACAATTCTACAAATCAAGATAATCCCAATAAAAAAATTAAAGTTAGTGAAAATAATCAAAATTCATTTAATAATTTTAATAATAGTGCTGATTATAATCAGTTAAAATTATTTGATAATCAAAATCACGATATTGAAGTAAATGCAGTGCATGAAAACAACAATAATTCAATATTACAAATACGCAATGTTGATTTAGATAATTCATTAACAGAAGATTCTTCTGAATTAACACAAACTAATCTTACAAATAATTTAGTAAATCAATCTATCTCTAAAGTTGAGAATTATATACATAAACCAATGATAGATTTAATGAATAGAACTTTACATAATTGTGAAAGCAATGTTATATTATACAATGCCTTATCTAGTCAAATACCAAATGTGTTAAATATGTCAGATGATAATCAACTAATAACAGATGAAATTAATAGATTATCTTTTGAAAGAACTACAACATTTGAAAATGAAACTTCTATCGAAAACATAAATACTATAACTTCTGCAGATACTATAAGCAATAATAATGAATCGCGTGCTCTTGAATTAGCTCTAGCATCTGAAGAAGAAAGACAATCTCCGTGGATTGATATAAACTCTTTAACAAGTGAACTTTCAGATAAAATAATTGCTTCTACAGCAATACCAACTGTTAGAACAGAATCAACATGGTCAGAATCTAATGCTCTGCCTATAGCTGTTCATTCTCTTGTGAATTTACTTGGCCCAGAGCCATATCCATTAGATGTAAAGAACCAACTCCAAAAAACATCTGAATTAGAAACTGTTAGTTTAATAGATGCAGGTATATCATCAAATGGTAATGAGGAAATTGTTATAAATTATACAGACTATCCTAATGAAACTTGTTCAAAAAATGAAACAAATAAAATAGAAGAAACTTCTCGAAATATACTTCAAGAAATTACAGCTGATGCTGGTATCTGTAAATGTGCTAGCTGTAAATGTGATACTGAGGAAGATAATTGCCGAAATTGTAATCATATAGGAAATGAGAATCAAGAAAAGCAACAGCCTACAATTAATGAAGCAAGACAAATAAATATATCAGATATAGTTTCATCTTTACAAAATAAATGTTGTTGCAATAATCAGAATAGTTGTGGTTCATGTTGTGTCGTTATTTGTATAAAAACATTACAAGAACTACAAGAAATATTTAATACTTGTTGTAAAAGTACAAGCAGTGCAGGATGCTGCAAAAGTAATTCTCTGAGTAACCAAGGTATATCGTTACCAATGACTTCACTAAAGAGTCAGTTGGCAGGAAACCAATAAAGAACAAACAGACTAGTCCAAAACCAAGATGTTATAATAATAAGTAGATACATATATACAAAAAAGGAGTAAAAAATAAATAAATTTTATTTTATTAACAATTTTTATTTACAGCAAAATAGAATGCCAATTTTTTATAAAGCACCGTACAAAATAATTTTCTTAATATACAATATTTTTTAATATTTTTATGAAAATATATTATAAAATTGCTATTATATATTAAGTTTATGATAAAAAAGTGTTTGTTTTCAATTTAACTTTGTTCAGACAAAACTTTACCTTATGCTAATTAAAGAAATGTATGTAAATCAGTTTTATAAGCATTTATTGCTTGCCAAAACTATTTCATTTTATGTGTTTTAGACTGTAATATTATTATATATAGAAAATGGTTAAATTGTAAATGTTTTGCCAAATATGTGTAGTTTTATAAATATTGACTGCAAAAATTACTATTTATAATTCTTATTATTTTGGTGATTACCAAAGGTATAAGAAAATTTAGTTTTTAACTTAAAAAATAAAGTATAAAATATTTTTTTCACTTGTTATAAATGCACTATTGTGCTTATGCAATCGTTAAAAGAATAAAAATATTTCATTATAACTTAATAAATTTTTAATATTTGTACAAAGCGTTTTTAGCTACTTACCTAATATAGTAATATCTTTGTTAAACCATATTCTTTTTCAATGCTGTATTAAATAAAATTATTGAAAAACGTTTTTTGTAATTAAAAAAAAAGTGTGAGCAAGTGTGTCTAAATAACAAATAAATTATGTTAATGAAAGTGCAATAAATAGTGCTACAAACAGTGCTTTAATATATTTAATAAATATATACCGTTTTTTATTATAAATATTAAATAAACATTTCTTTTTTCCTTTTTTTCCTTAACAATTTTATTATGTCTCACTGTATTGCAATATAAATGATAGTTCTATTATACATTGGTATTATTAAATATAAACAAATTTAAAATAAATTTATAGAGCAGCTTGCTCTAAAGCTTTCGTTACTTCTAATGCAATTTCAGCTTCTGCTTTATCTTTCTCAGATGAAGCACGTGATAGCTGGTCTTGAGCCTTATTTAAAAGATCTCTACAAGCAGATTTATCCAATGCTTCTATTGGATGTGCTTCTTCTGCAAGAACCTAAAAATAATTTATACACTTCAATATCAAAAATTTTGTATTTTCAATGCAATTTATACAATTTTAACGAAGTCTCATTTAAATGCTAATTAAGCAATCTTAAATAAATTTTTGTACTGAATCTAGAAGAAACTAATCCAAAGTTTGAAGAAATTTAACCCAGATTAATTAGGATTTTCTATACATTAAATGTTTAAAAAAAAATATTTATATTTTATCAATTAATTAATTTCTTTTAATTTGAAACATAACTTTTCTAAATTTAATCTCTTATTGTACATGATAATTAAATTAAATCAAAATTTTTAAATTATATAAATTAATACATAATATGGTACTAATTCATTGATCTTAATACATGAAAAAATAATAAAATAATATTAAATACTATACCATATAATTATCTACAATGTACTTATATTGTATTCTATATAATATATTATAACATTACCTGTATAGTAGAATCTTGATTGATTGTGATTGTTCCAGAAGAAACAAAAATTTTTTTAACATCACCTTTTTCTTCAAATACTGTCACTACTCCAGGTTTTAAAACAGCTAGACAAGGTACATGTTTCGGTAAAACACCAAATGATCCAGAAAATGATGGTACATCTACTTGCTTTACAATAACATTATCATAAAAAACCTATATATAAAAAATTATATTAATAACAAAATCATTTTAAAATGTTTAAACATTTCTCTTTACTTTATTAGCACCAGCAAAAGTTAATTTCATTTGATTTTCATTTGGAGGAGCATCGGCGTAAAACCTTTTTTGTAAATGAACATTCTTCAAAAATGAACGTAGTATACGAGAAATAGTAGCCATTATTACTAAAAGCATAAAATAATAATTATTAATCTTACATTTATAGAACTAAGAAAATGTTACATCACAATACGGTTTATAAAATAACCCTATCTCGACATTTTTTTTATAAAAAATATAATTACATGTATCAATTTATTATATAATGTAATACATGTAATTATATATATATTTATAAATACATATATTTATTAACATACATAATTATTCGAAGTGATTATATTAGTAGTAACAATATAAAATATACAATGGTTGGATAAGCAGTAGAAAACTAGAATAGTATAGTGTATATTTGCGCATGCGTTGAAAAAACCGATTCTTTATTAAATAATAATTCTGAGTTCTATCATGCATGTCCAGTCAATTAAAATTACAATCATTACCATTGTAAATAATGAGAAATTTTAAATATTCTAAAAAATTTTCAATAAATTAATAATATAATATATCGTAATTTTGTTAATAAAAAAAATTAATATAATTCTGGACTATACTATTGAAAAAAATAAATAACAAATATTATAATTAAAAAATAAGATTTTTTATTTGCATCTAATTATACTTTGAGTTGTCTGTAGCCTGTTTACGTATTACCTGTCTTAACATCATATTTGCTTGCTACGTTCATAAATGAGTTGTCATATTAGCATAAGATATTACCAAAGAATATCAAATATTTAATTTTTATCAATTGTTTATGATTTCTTCGTAAAAAGAGGTAGTAAAAGGAAGAGAATAATTAAATTAATTTAATTACTATATGCTGTATAATTTAACTATCACGCGAATTTTGAATGTTACGTAATTTTTATTTAAATACAATTATTAGAAACAAGCAAAACCTTAAATATTTTTGTAATATAAGTGTAATAAAAGTATATATAAATAATTATAGGATAGTGAAATTGTATTAAAATATATCATATCTATATTCACTTTCCTGAATCGCGTTATGCTAGATAAGAAATATAGAAACTTTCTTAAACATAAATTCAAAAATACACATATTTGTAATCAACGAATTAAAAAATGATTGCTTGATCAGAAGTTAGTGTACAAATAAACTAATATATATTTATATGTATAAAAAAAAATTTAAAAGCAAAACAAATAAAAAATTAGGTTCTCGTTAAAGCTCAATTTTATTTTCTGTGCACCAAGACGCCAACGACAGATGACGAAAAATTTTAATCATTTCTAAAACAAAGCAGCTCGTACTTTGAGAGAAATTATTGTGAATTTTGAATATAAATTTATTTTTAATTTATAAGATTTAAATCGCAACTATGTCGATTGTCAACAAGTAGTTATTATAAGAAAAACGGCAAAAAAATCACTGAAGAATATAGAAAGATGAAGAATTCCATGGCTTAAACATATCGAAGTACAATTTCAATTAAATAAATTATTTCCTTGTTAGATGTTTCAACGTACATAAACTAAATAATAATCAATGTACTTAAAATAAATAATACAGTAATACATTATATAGTAGTCAAATAACTCTAATTGATTTTTTTTTTTTAAATCCAAAATATTCATTTAATATTATAAATATAATATTTTTCAAATTACTATTTTAAATCAACGCTAAAACTATAAACAAAGACTTGATTTCTACCAAAAAATGTAAAAAACTTAACAGTTTGATTTATATTTAATGTTATAATCAATGTCGAATATTTTAAAATTTAAATATCACTTGAATTTTTAATTAAAATTGCTTAATCATTTAGTATTATTTTTCAAGTGCTAAATTATTAATACTTCATTATTTCTCATTTATTACTTACCGTAGGAAAAAATTAAATGATTAATCAACAACTATGTATTATAATTCAATTGAATTATTGTAATTTAATAACACATTATTACAATATATATAAATCCAAATTTTTCATCTAACAATATAGAAATACATATATTTACTACACATTTGGTTGAAGATCAATATATATTAAATATATGCATTATATACACAATGCATTTACAATGTAAACAGGTGATAAAAAGTATATAAGCGATCATCTTCATAATCTTGAGCAATTTATAGAAAAGTTGAATATACCTTTCAAGGATATTGACTGGATAATAGTTTAAAGTGTATTTTCAATCCAATAATACATATACATTTTCTGAATAATTTAAACATTGAATGAAATGAAAATTTAAATATTATTTATGTAAGAAAAGTTAATGAGATGAATAAAAAGTCGAATCAGTTATGCTTTAAAATCAGTAACTGCAAAAAGTAGATGTTTTCACATCTAGTTAAAGAAAAATCATACAGTGGAAGCTATAATTTTCCATGAAACTCTGATTGCAAACAAAATTATTAAAAAAATTCTGTTATATTTTAAATAACCTAATGAGCACAAAATTTGAAAATTAATAAAGAAAATTCTTTTATAATCTAAGATAAAATCATAAATGAAAATGACAATATATATTTAAACCCTTTAATTATTCATAATAATTTATATAGATCACTATTATCATTCTCAATTTCCAGACTCCGAAAGGCATAAAAATTCTTGCAGCAGAACTTATCTATAGTATATTGTGTTTTAATGGTTAAACACTGTTACTCGTGAGTAATTCCGTATGAACAGGCGAAATAGTTTAAGCCGGTAGACAAACTATATTAAAATATAACAGTGCGGGGTACGTGATAATGGACGTAAAACCAAAATTAATCGACCGAATTATATGGAAAAAATTGGAAGATTATTTCAATCATAATGGAACAAAAATCAACATAAATACATTATTTCAAAACGATCCTGATAGGTTTAAAAAATTTAGGTAAAATAATTCAGTTTTTAAAGGATTATTCTTTGACCTTCAAATGACCTTTCACTTATATAAATAAAATAAAATACATTTTTAAAATAAAAAATAATTTAAAATTTAATAACTGAATGTAATTAATTACCATTGTATAACAATTAAAATAAAGATTTCATAATTTTTTACAATTATTACTTATAAATTTTATTAAAAATAATTATTTTTAGTAATAAATATTTTTATTAACTAAAAATTTAATTTGAATTATTTATTTAATTGATTATCTTTCTTTGAATTATTAAAAAAACTATGCGATAATTATAAATAAAAATTTAATAATTGAATTTCAATTCATTTAATTATTATTAAGCAAATTAAATGTTTCAATATAGATATTTAAATAAATAAATAATTAGCTTATTATTTAAACTAATAGAGATATTTATAATTAATTGCTTTAATTGGTTAGTATAAAGTATTTTTATAAAATATTTATAAAATAGCAATTAATTAATTTTGAAAAACTTTATATAAATTGACTGTACACTCTCCTAGATAATTTTAATATATATTTGCATATAAGGTTAAAATAATTTAAAACATTAATTTTAAAATATTCTAGTTTAACACTTAACACTCCCAATGATGGTTCTATCCTTTTTGATTATTCAAAAAATCGTATAACATATGAAGCCCTTGATTTACTATTCCAACTTGTATGTATAATTTATAAATTATTAAAAATTTATAAGCCTAATCTTTTTATAGAATATATTTATTATTAATTTATATTTATAGGCAAGGGATATTAATGTTGAACAAACTAGAAATGCAATGTTTTCTGGACATAAGATCAATTTTACAGAAGGCAGAGCTGTACTGCACACTGCTTTACGTAATAGAGCTAACAGTCCAATTTTAGTAGATGGAAAAGATATAATGTCTGAAATAAATGGTGTCTTATTTCATATGAAACAATTTACAGATCAAGTATATAAAATATATTTCTTTTATTTATAATAAATTGTTATTATTTTACTTTATAATTCTTTATATATATAGATTCTTTCTAAAGAATGGAAAGGATTTACAGGTAAGGCTATTGAAGATATTGTGAATATTGGAATAGGTGGATCTGATCTAGTAAGTTAAGTTTTTATACAATAAATGAAACATTTTTATAATTTATAATAAAATTAAATTAAATGCTTTTTAAGGGACCACTTATGGTAACAGAAGCTTTGAAACCATATCATATTGGACCTAAAGTTTACTTTGTTAGTAATATTGATGGAACTCATATAGCCGAAACTTTAAAAAAACTTAATCCAGAAACATGTCTTTTTATTATTGCATCAAAAACTTTTACAACACAAGAAACAATTACAAATGCTACTTCTGCTAAAAAGTGGCTTCTTCAACATTTAAAAAATGTAAGTTACTTGTATGATTTTTAAATGTAAGTAAATCAAGTTCTTTACTCCTTACAGGATGCAGCTGTGGCTTCTCATTTTGTAGCTATATCTACTAATACAGAGAAGGTCAAAGAATTTGGTATTAATGAAAATAATATGTTTGGTTTTTGGGATTGGGTTGGTGGACGATATTCTTTATGGTCAGCTATTGGTTTATCTATTTCTTTATCTATTGGTTTTGATAATTTTGAAAGGCTTTTAGAAGGAGCATTTTTCATGGATCAACATTTTTGTACTGCACCATTAGAAAAAAATGTTGGTAAAATTTGTTATATAATTCTACTGATTCTATGTAATAATTTAAATATTTATTTATTTAGATACCAGTGATTCTTGCTTTGTTAGGTATTTGGTATAACAATTTTTACAAAGCAGAGACACATGCATTATTACCGTATGATCAGTATCTTCATAGATTTGCTGCATATTTTCAACAAGGTGATATGGAAAGTAATGGAAAATATGTTACGAAATCTGGTGACACTGTGAATTATTCAACAGGTATGATACTTCAGTCAAAAAATTGTAAATTGACTTATAGTTTTAAACTTGTAAATTTATTATAGGACCTATTGTTTGGGGGGAACCTGGAACAAATGGTCAACATGCATTTTATCAACTGATTCATCAGGGTACACGATTGGTTCCAGCAGATTTTATAGCACCTGTACAATCTCATAATAAGGTTTATATTTATATTAAAAGAAATTATTATTTAATACAGAAAAGAACCAATGTATACTACTGTTTAGGTTCAAGGAGATTTACATCATAAAATCCTTCTTTCTAATTTCTTAGCCCAAACTGAAGCTTTAATGAAGGGAAAGAATGAAGATCAAGCAAGGAATGAGCTTCAAAAATCTGGAACATGTACTGAACAAATAGATATATTATTGCCACACAAAATTTTTCAAGGAAATAGACCAACAAATAGTATTCTTGTAAAAAAACTTACTCCATTCACATTAGGTGCTTTAATTGGTTAGTATAAAGTATTTTTAAATTGTTTACATTATATTTTAATTACTCTTATAAATTTTTGTCATTGTTATATCTATAGCAATGTATGAACATAAAATTTTTGTGCAAGGCATTATTTGGGGCATTAACTCCTTCGATCAGTGGGGGTAAGTATAATAATTTATAATTTATTTCCGATGAACAAAAAAATATAAATTTTTTTATATTAAATAAATATATATCTACTATTGTCAGTGTGGAATTAGGAAAACAATTAGCTAAAACCATAGAAAAAGAATTACATACTGATAACGAGATCACTAGTCATGATTCATCAACAAATGGATTGATTGCATTTATAAAATGTAACAGTGCTTGAGTATTTAGATGACACTAATAATTCTAAGATTTATTTTTAAAAATATAAAAAATATATTTGTATAAAAATATATTCGATTAATAATTCTTGATTATATGTATACATTTATTTTTCTTGATAAAGTATAATTTTGTTAATTTTATTTAAATTATAAGTACACAAATATACAAATAAAAATTTATATTTATATGTACAATTATCATTATATATAAGAAATGGTAAAGCAATCTGTATTTTAATTCTATTATTTTACAGAATAGTTATATTTTTTTATAATTCTTAAAAACTGTTTTAATGAATTTTATATAAGGTACATATAGTCAAAGTAGCTGTTTTTTTAATTATTAATTGTTATTAATTATTAAGTATATGTTTTAACTTAAAAAATGTTTTCAATAATAATGTTTAATAAATTTAATAGATAATAATTTAAAATTATATGCTAACTATTTCATTACATTACCAATTTTTGTTATGTTGTCTTACCATATAACGATAATCAAGATATAATTTATTCAATACGAAAGAAAATAAAACTAAGTAAGCAGGATGAGGTATAAGGTGGCCTATTTGTGAAATTGAAATGTATATATATATATATATATATATATATGTGTGTGTGTGTGTTTGCGCGCGCGTGTGTGTGTGTGGTATGCATAGTTAAGAAAAAAAGGAAACAAGGATATCGTGTCAGAAACGGAGCAAAAACCAAAGATTCAGTGCTAAATTAAGCATTACTTTCTACCCCGCTCACATAAAAAGCGCGGTAGTGGTGTGTCGTTAACTTTGCACTATTGTATTCCTTCAATAAAGTGTCATTTAATTATTATTTACTTAAACTCCAAATAGGCGCATACCGTAAGAATCAGTTCGATCAGGTATAACCACGTAAGCTAGAAAAGTTCGTCACCATTTGGCCATTTCTTATTCCCGTAGTTTTGATATTTGCTAACTGCAGATGTTTAAAATTTAAAGGTAGGTTTTCTAAAGTACACGGCACATTTGAAGAAAATACCTTCTGCATTAGCAATAATTTTATTAATGTATAAATTCAAGTAATTATTATAAATTTGTAAACTCTGATTCATTTTTTATGTTTAGATTAACCTTGAATTCTTATACAATCTTGAATATAAATCGTAATACATTGTACATTAAATGAAATATTTTTTGTGTTTAGATTAACCTTGAAATCTTATACAATCTTGAATATAACTCGTAATGCATTGTACAGTAAATAAAATATTTTTTGTCAAGAAAAGTTTAATTTAAAATAATAAAATTTATTTGTACATAAAGTGACTTATATTATCGAAGGACCAACCAGTTTGAATTAGTACACCTTTATGCGTAATTATACATTTCAATTTTCCTTTTAATATTTGTATACGGAGATTTGCTGCACTAGAATTAGATAGAAGTTTCATGGCGTGAAGGAAATAAAAGAGAAAAAAGCCTAGTTACCCAAAGAAGAGGGGGATTTTGTATATTTTATTTTATTAACATAAGGACAAAAAAGAGCGCAATTAGAAGTGTGCCAGAAAGAAATGGAGATTTTGACCAGGCATTACGGTATTTTGGAGAAAAGGATTCTAAGCAGTTTAGCGGCCAGCAATTTACGTCATCGGTATATTACATTAATTTATTAATGAAAAATGCAATTCAATTTTTTTTCATTTTTTGTTTTCTTTTTTCTCTTAATCATTTCTAAATGTCTTGAAATATGCAACTTAACCTCTAATACGTATTTTTCATAACAACTATTATCGTTAGATATTTTGTTCTTTCAATGCGCAGTTTCGTTATCATCTTTTTATTTACAAAAAAAAATGAACTTTTGACAATTCGATTAATAAATAAAACGTATTTTCTAAAATTATAAATTTAATAGTAATGAAGATGTACCATATTGATATATATATATATATATATTTTTTTTCATTTTAGAAAATACGTTTTAATAACAAAATACCTTTAATAACAAAATATCCTAATTACATAAAATCGATATTGTATGTATAGTTTATTTTAATTTTATCCAATAAGAAAGTTTATTACAATTTCAATATATGTAAGAAATTCCTTATTAGTGTAATAACTCTTTAATGTATATAAAAAATTAAAAAATAAATACTATTTCTAAATGAGAACAATTGATAATTTTTATTTTTTTTAATTATAGAACTAAAGACTCAACTGGATTATGGCTTGGACCATTAATTGGTACAAGTACTTTAATGACTTTCCTAAAAGAAGATTCCAGCTATTCTGAAATATGTTTGTTAACTGGTATTGCTGGAGGCGGCTTAATAATTAGTTGTATATGTCTTTATATTCGACTGATGATGAAAAATGTAGCAGCAAAAGATTTTCATGTTGTATATTTTGTACCTGCAATAATATTATCAACTTTATTTCTTCTTGTTGGTAATAAAGGTAAGCAATTATATGAAAACTAAACAATTTTATAAAAACATTAAAATTGCATTCTATATTTTAAATACTAAAAGTGCAGGATTACTAGTAAGTGTAACATGGGGTATTGTAGTTGGAAGCTTCAGTACATGGGGTGTTATTCAATTGATATCCAGTTGTCCTAATTGTTTTACTTTGGGTGAAGCAACTGCAGTTACACATAGCTTAGTTCTTTTTTTAGTCTCTGCTTTCACAAATTTACCATTGAGATACCATTTGCCTCCTATTCATGATAATGATATAATTACTGCAATATTACAGGTAATTTTACCCAATATTAAGTATTTCAATTTTTTTAAATACTTTTCCAAATAATAATTTATTAAAATTTCAGGTTATTATTCTTTATGTAATATTAATTTGCTGTTTATGTGTAAATTTACCAAAATTACGTCAATTACCACAATTTTTCTTATTAATGATTGGAATGCTATTTACAATAGTAATTCCTGCTTTATATATTATTCTTGATCAAAATCCATTTTTTTGGGTTCTCTCATTTGCATTTAGTACATATATTACAGTAAGTCTGCAGATGCATACAAGAATTTAATATAAACATTTAATTTTAAATTTAAATTAAAATATTTTAATTTTTGTCTTACAGATATTTTTACTTCTCTACTGGGCTGTATGCTTATTGTTTGCTTTGTTTGCTGTAAAATATCAAATTTCTCAAAAATCTAAAGCAACTACTTCGAACAGAAAAATTTTTCATGTGTTAGTGGTCATGGTATATATTCCTGGTTTAATTTCGCAACCAACTTTCTTGTATTTAGCAAGTGGTACAGTTCTTGTTCTGTTTTCAATTATTGAGGTAAATAACATAAATTATTATAGACAGCTATCTATATATCAGTTTCTAATTTTTATTTAATATAGCTCTTAAGAATTTTAAATTTGCCACCTTTGGGAAAATTTCTTCAAGATGGCTTTTCTGCATTTGTTGATGAAAAAGATACATTGATTTCATTAACTCCATTATATTTATTATGTGGTCTATCAGCTACACTTTGGATGCCCACTGAAAGCATGGGTTTATTACCTTTGATGAGTGGTGCTTTAACAATTGGTGTAGGAGATACTGCTGCAAGTTTTTTTGGAAGTAATTGGGGAAAACACAAATGGGTAGGATCACAGAAATCTATTGAAGGTACAATTGCTTGTGTCACTGCTCAACTAATTGTAATATTTGGATTTGCTACTTTCGGTAGGATTCAACTCATATATCTCATATTAATTTGCTAGTATTTAATAAAATCGATTTTGTATATATTTTTTACAGGATGTATAGAAAGTACGTCATTGCTAGTCAGAAGCATATGCTCGGTCATATTGATATCACTTGTTGAAGCTCGTACTGAACAAGTAGACAATCTGGCATTGCCATTCCTAATGTACCTGTGCCTTACAATTTAAAATAGGTAAATGCATTCAAAATGTATTGAAATGCCTTCAAAAGTTATTTATTATAAAATATTTAAGAAAATTTAAGATACTAAAGATTTGATCAAGGATGTGGAACATCTAAAAATGATCGAATATAGCTTTAACATATTTTACTTGAAGAAAGGCGTTTATAATTAATTTTATGTATATTCGTTAAAACTAATATTTTTATTTTTTGTTAAAATCTTTATATGTATACACAAATATTTTGCTTAACAGACTTTAGAATGCTTAGATGAATGAATTTTATATATAATGATTACATTTTATAAATTGACGGTTTAAGCAATAATTATAACAATTATGCCTAAGAATCTGTTTCTTCTATATTAAAAATGATTAATTATAGCATTCCTATTAATGCATATTTCTAACAATTGCAGTTTAATTATGTTTCTTGTAAAATAAAAACTTAGAAGTGGCAAAGTTTATTTGAGAAAGTACTAAAATAAATTGCAATAAACTATTTTTATACTGAAAAATTATTTTTCATATCTCATTTATCTTTCAGAATTAAATTATCCGTCCCAATGTGATTCAAATAAATTTTTCTACTATATAAAATAAAAAATATAGTTTGTGAAAATTCTCATGTAAAAACTATGAGCAGTAAGAATAATTATAAGGTTTTCTATCTCACGTGAGGATTTATAATAAAAAGTTTGTGATATAAAATTAGACTATTAAAGAAGCGACAATTTACGTAGACATCAATCTGCAATTTCTTTTCTGTATCTAAGATTTATATAGTTTTATTTAGGGAATAGAATAACTAACAACTTTATTTTTAAACATTTTTATTGACCGCATAGCCTTAAAATCTGCTCATTCGGTAAATATTAAATAAAATTATTGGATTGATGTGAATCCTGATTAAATATGATAAAAAACATTGTCAGATGATGCAACAAAATTATTTATAATACTTAATAAATATTACAATGAATAAGTGTAAATACAATCGTTTACGTAATAAATATTTTCTAGATATGACGCAAATTTTTGGTTGGAACTTGTTTCAGAATTTAATTATACATATTGTTGTAAATTGAAAGACTAATTGTTAAGTGTAGAACTAAAAAGAAATTTTATTGACTTCCTTAATTTTGTAGCACTGCGCATTGATAATAAATATTAAATTTATAATGATAGCTACTTACAAGGTCTCATATATTCCGTAAATTAATCAATGAATTTAACCTTGAATTTTCTTATATTTTATATTATTAAGCATACGTTTCATTTTTTCGGACTCGGTGGCTACCAAAAAAGTAAAATTTTTAAAGGTACATACTACTCGTTATATTTGTAATTCCTTTTATAATCTGCTATTACAGTTATTATAGAAATTAAATAAATATGTTGATACTTTCAATTATTGATGTTTTATTTTGTTTTAATTCTTATATTATTCCTTTTCTCTATATTTCAGTTTTTTGTCAAAATTCCTCTAAAATACGTTTCTTAAATAATGGTTTAGCAAATTGTTATTCTAAATCAATCATGAAAAACATAGCTTTATGTTTATTAATTATTTGAAAAATAATATATATTTTTATATTTGTAAGTGAATTATAAGGAAATTATATTATTATAAATTATAGTACTGATTTAATAATCAAAAAATTAAATTAAAAATCAACGATACTGTCCGATTTTATGTATATTTTTTAATGTTTCGATGTAATTGATATTAATCTAAGTCTTCATATGATATATTAGAATTGTGTTGCATTAATTGTTATTCAATGATACAATATATAATTTTATTTTCACTTAATCGATTATGCCGAATTGAACATAGGTACAACTTAGGTTTAATTAAATTGTTTAAAATAAAAATAAAAATATATAATTTAAATAGAAGTTCTGAAATATTTAATTTAGGCATCTAAATAATATTTTCTTTATAAAAAGTATTTCTACATAAAGTTTTTTGTATATAAATTATATGTAATAGCTATAAATTTAAATTAGTAAATAAAATAAAGTATCAATTAGTGAATAAAAACACAAATTAATTTACAATTTGGTATTTAAAAATGGTAAAATATTAATAAATATCTAAGAATTTACATGTTTATAAAATTTTAAATTATATGTTCCAAATAAGAACATAGATTTATAGTTTTCTTTGAAAAAATTTTCCTTTACATATATGTATTATACAGGCAATACAAGAAAAATTAATACCATGCTTAAGAAAAATTATCTTTTTTATATTTACTATAAGCAAATCTTAATAAAATCTTATATAAATGATTAAAGACATATTGCCATATACTAGATTTTTCAATACATTGCCTATAGACTTATTTTTACAAATATATCCTTGTAAAATAACGTTTTTATTAACTTGCCCATTTTCTTTTTTCTATGTGCCATAATTGATTTACAATATTTCTGAGTACGTATAACGTTGCATGCTATAGATAATTCAAGTCTCAATGGTTGTTATACTTAATTATTATTATTCTTATTAATATAATTTATCACCAAATTACATTAAAGCAAAGTTTTGAGTACTTAGAGGTATGAGCAATAACATTGTTTACCTTTTTTTCTATTTGATTTAAAGTGAAACACTTTCTTTTTGTCATTTTCCGCGAAAGAAGAATATAATTTTTAATAATAAAATTTAATAATAAAAGTATTCTTATTATGAATAAGCAATATTTGACGTACAATACATTTATATAATTTTCTAAATAATAAATCGAATACATAAATAATGTATTAAAATTATAATTTTTGACGTTTAATATAAAATTAAAAATAAAACGTAAAAGAATAATATTGATTTGTATTGAAATAAGTAATAATATCATTCTTCCTTCGCAGTTTATTTTAAATATGTTAAATTGTTGAAAATTCGAAGATTTTACACGATTGCGGAATTGCGCGAGGATACATTCTTTGTTCTAATATGTTAATTGCACAGAATAAGATGAAAAATTCTTAAAAATTAATTGGATGAATAATTTTCGATTAAGAAAATATTTTTTTACTATCCTTCATAAACATTTTCCAAGATAATTCGTATCATTCGGTCTCTAATTAAATTGAATAAATAAATTACTTGAATTGTTTTCAATTTGTATAACTATACAAATTAAATTTTTTTTCTATATTTAAGTAATTTTACGTTGTTAAGTCAGTAAATAATATCAATATAAAGCACAATACAGCACTCCTTTAACCAATATCAATTACATATTTACAGTTACGATTATAAAAATTGCCTTTACACGAAGAAAACAACAAAATTCACGATATTTTTCACTAGTATAAGTACAACATCTTATTCGCATATTTCATTTTATTCTTATAAAAAAAATTTCTATAAAATTAATATAACTAGGATACGGAAGTATGTAAAACGTTTAAATTTATAAGTTTATAAGTAAATTCTTTTAAAAGATGTTGGAATGATGCCCACACGTAAATATTTTTATTTTATTCTTGCATTATATCTGGTCAAAAATCTTAATACCTACTTTATATATGTAATATTTTTGTGTACCATGAGCATGTTGAAAAATCGCAGCGATTTTTAAACATTTTAATCCACGAAGTCATGACATCGATTGAAACAAGATACTAATATATTTAATAAAAACAAATTACTGTAAATTGAACGTATTTATATTGTATAAAAATTAAAATCAAATATTTTATTCAATAATAAAATATAGTATTCAGAAAATATCAATTATATTTTATCGCGTATAAGACTAATTAAAATTTAATATAGAAATAAAAATATTCATCGATGGCATTGTGTGGAATAACTTTAAGCTGCCAAGGAATCACTTTTATAATACGTTTAGTAGTTAATAGATCATTCGGATTTAATTATTTATGCCCAGATGACAGTGCATGAAATTAATAAATTAAACACGTAATATTATGTATTTCGCATATCTTATAGTTTTATTTTAATTTGTAAATTAACGAAAGCTTATTTTTACCCTCTTTATATACTGTTACACCCATTCTACGCGTGAACTTTACATATATTCAGATATCGACTCATTTTTACATCATCTCTTATACATTTCATTTTTAAATAAATTATATTCTGGTCATTTAAGTAAATTGAAAATTATTTATTTCTTATTATCTTTTTTCTAAAATATATTACATATTTCATTTTATATAGTTTAGATAAGAACGTTTTTAATTTTTTAATAAACATAAAATTATTTAAAACGTTTATAATAAACTCATTTGTAAACTTATATTATAGTTTTACTTGTATATACTATTGTATATGTATTCTTGCAAAATTAATCATCCCTAAATTTAATCTTAACAATTTAATAATTTTATTAACTCAAAATATACCATCGGACAATGATCCATTTCTAGACTCCATAAAAATATAAGTAAAATAAAATAAAAATTTGCTATTTCGAAAGTATATAAGAATACATTATAAATAACTACAAAATCTAATAAAACATTATTATAAAATAAACGTATAGAAATATATACTATGTAAATGTAAATGTATAATTTATTTCAACGAGAACAAAACGTTACGTGCTATCGCTAAAAGAAAGTGATTAGAAGATCTCTCTTAATATTATAATTCTATTACTTTCTATAAAAATTTCTAAAATACATATGAATTTAACATATGGTAAAAACGTGTTTATGATTTATCTACAAGACTTGATTGATAAATGTGAGCCGTTATCTGAATCGTCAATTACTTGTATCACAATATATACCCAAGTATATATTATTAATTTATAAAACAATATACCTTCATTTCATGCCTTTTACGTAATATCCACTTTTAGTAGATTCGAGCACCTTCGTACAACTAAAAAGAATTCCAAAGCTTAAATATTTTTACTTAACAATCCCATCGATACGCCTTTATATTATTTCAATAAAATTATTAATTATAAAAATCACTTCAGTTTTATCCTTATATTTATTATAAAATTTCTATTAAAAAATGGAATTATAAAAAAGTATATTATTACTTTACTCTATCATAGAATTCATGTACAAGTAATACACGCAAATGAATTAAACATTTATTGAAATGAAAATCAATTGTACTAAAGTGCTCATATCTATTAAAAATTATAGTTGTTCTTTTCTAAATATATAATTTAGATGTTTGATAATAAAGGCAATGAAGAAATCATTTGTTGAAAACGTCGAAAAATTGCGATTTCACACAGTTACTCTCTTAATCTGTGCCAATCAGCTATTTGACGTTTAGGTGAGCTACAAACTTCGTTCCAATGATTGAGAGCTGACCCTTGACATCTAGGACCACCAATTTCTAACCGGCCAATAACCTAAAAAATTTGTTTAATATGATTCACAACAATTTTGGATTAACTCCTATTTTTATTAATTAATTTATTTTTTTTTAATTTAAAATCTTTAAGAAACATTGAAATTATACTTTGATAAACATTTATAACAAGAAAATCAATAAATTAATATAGAAGACTTATTTGATCTGTACTATCTGTACTATATACTATAAAACAATGCTTTAATTAATAAAAACTTTTGAATATAAAAGAAATATCGTCAAATTTAATAAAAAAACATGTTTTTATTTAAATTGATTTATTCTTTTATCCATACATTTTGTACGATGTCAACATTTATCATCTTTTTAGTAAAAAAAAAAAAAAAAATTGTACATTCAAATTAAAAGCTTATTTAGAATTAGGGAAAATTCGATTAAGTTTTATTAAAAAATTGTCTTATTAATTATATATCCTAGATTTAAAACAATTGTACGTATTGAGATATCTCTATTCAGCAATTTAATTGAATTTACATCATATGCATTACAAATGATATCGATATTATCCATATTTTAATAACTAAATTTATTAAAAGATAAGAATTATTCTTTTCAATTAATTTACTTCAATGTTATCAACTAAATAACAATTTAGAAACATTTAGTTATTGTATAAAAATTGTTAAATATAGTACTATAAATGTCAATCAATTGTATTATATAAATATAAAATATAAAAATTGTATTAAATGCAAAAATTTTTGCAAATTTGATACTAATTGTTTACATATTCATACATTGCAGTTATTTAGGAAATTATTAAATAATAGTGTTTAATCGATACAAATTATAATAAAGAAACATTATTAAATAATAAAATGTACTTATTAATTTAGGCAATTAAAATATAAGACTTAACTTAAAACAACACAAATTTATTTGCTCTATTTGCAGTTGCTATTCTTTAATATTTTAAATCAAGCAAATAAAAATATTTTTCCAACCATTTGCGACAGACATGTGTGTGTATGTGAATGTGAGGGCTTGAGTGTGAGTGCGTGTACGCGTGGGTGTGTGTGTGCCTGGGCGTTCGCGCGAATAGAAGAGAATTTTCGTTCATCTCGAACAATAAGGAATATATTAATGTTGGTTTTACAAGGGCATAAAAATTTAATTGCATGGAAAACCATTAGGCCAGATTTATTATATTGTACAGTTTTTAATAAGAAACTGAATTAGTATTTTCTAAGCAAATGAAGCCTTATGAAATAAGCCTTATAAAATAAATTGCTTATATATCCCTACAATTTGATAAAACTTAAGATGATTATAGCAATAATAATTTAAAGCAATTAATAATTTCACGTTTATATAAAGATTCTTGTTATTAAAAATTTTATAATTACTTTGACTTTTTCAACTTAAATAATTTTATTTTATTTTATTATGTTAGTATCAACTCTGTAAGTACATTGTGTTATAAATATAATTTATATAATATATAATATTAAATAAAAATAATTTTATATAATTTAGATTATTTTAATAATTAAAATGATTATCTTTAAATAGTAAATTATTAAGCAATAAGTACCTCGTTTTTCATAACTCTATCCCAATCCAGAAGGGAAAATTCGAGACTAATCTTACTGAGACCTTCAGTACCATTTGGAATTTCAAAAACAATCGATTCATTGAATACAGGATTCAAAGTGCGTTTCTTCACGTGAGTCTTTCTCTTGCAAATACGTTGATTGTTATAAAGTAGATAAATCTTTACGTACGGATCTGCTAATCCCGTTACATCCATTTTAGGCAGATTTCGCGCCTTCAATACAACAACTGTTAATTTACTAGTTGCTGGCTGCCAACCCAAAGACACTAATAATTCTCCTCGACCGTGAGATTGGATCTGTAAGAAATAATTTAGAAGTATAGTATTTTATGATTATATTTTTTATCATACATCTATTCATATCGAGATACTTTTACACTATTTTTTTTTTGTATAATACATATATTTAATAATATTATTGAAATTATTATTTTTTAAATACGACTTGCTCGCCATAAAGATAATGAATTTTAAATCAATTAACAATTAAAGTAGATTATAAATCTTTATTCTACTGAATTATAAAATTTACTTTATACGATAACTAGTAAATATTCATTTAAATTCAGATTCAGAATTTATTCAATTACCTTCAAATTTCTTGGTCGAATCTCTTTACACAGTCTAATTTCATTATCTTGTCTTAAATCTATCTCGGGTACTGAAGAAAGTGCATATACAACTTCTCCAATAACTTGATCACGAGAATATCTATCAAAACTCATAATAATGAAGTACAGGCACATTGTCTGAAAAATCAATAATTTACAATCATTATATTTGTAACAATCTCATTTACATATTGTTGAAATTCATTTTTAATATAATGTATACATTAAAACTGGCTTCAAACACGCACACATATACAATCTTGGAAAGATTTAAGTTATAAATTTATTTCATTTAATACTTTAATAAAAATTCTAACTATTCCCATAGATGAGTTTTTAAAAAATATACACCAGGTATAAGTTGCTGTTATGGGAAATTAAATAAAACTGTTTTTCAATATTTTTCAAAGTATTGAAATATTTCTCATAATTAATTACAATTCAATTTTTGCAAAAAATTTTACTCTTAAAATTTATCTTCTAAAAATAATATTTAACAAATAATAATTCATTTGTTTTGTATTAAATTTTTAATTAAAAATAAATTTATGACTGATTAGATTTTTATTTTCTTCAAAATATAATTTTATAATTTAATGTTTTAAAACATTTTTTATTAAATAACTGTCTTTTCAAATAATAATTGAAAAAAAGCCGAAAGCAAAAAAGGAAAAATACATTTCATTATAGAATAAATGAATATATATATTATTGTTGTTTTTCATTCACTTTGTTCAATAACATTGTGTTTATGCGTTATTTAAATAGGTATTTAAATATTTTTACAGCATTAATTGGGTTAAAATATTCATCATATTTTAATATACACAATATTCTTTAATGTATTTTCTTTATTGGATATATATGTTCTAGGTATTATTATTTAATATAGGTAGGAAACATTATTTATTTCTAATCGAATATAAAGAAAACCGTATATACCTGGAGCTGAGACTGCATGATACCAAAAAACGTGAATTCCTCATCATAGATAGGGTCCCTCGTATTTCTGAGCACTCGGGTCTTCGTGCGATGTTGCTTCTCGGGCAGCAATACGAGCTTCACATAAGGATCACTGTTTACGTTCTGACTGCGAGCCGGTAGACCTTTGCACTGGACCACCGTCACTACGAGGGCGTTTTGCTCACTGATGTAACGTAGCTTGAATACAAGCTGACCGAGGCTGACCCTTATGTCATCCAAGATACACCTACCTTCCCCTCTATCGGTTTTCTCATTATTTTCTACTTCGGCCTTATCGCGCTCGTTCTCGATGGTCAAAGTAACAGTGCTCATTGGTGATGGCAGTGCTGGTGACTGCGTGCTCGCATCTAAGGGATTGGTTTCGTCATTAGATCAGGTAGTAATTAGAAATATTATTTATTATTTTTTATTGCTTATTATTGAATTTAAATGCCTGTTTTTTTACTTTTTTATAATTAATAGATGATGTGGTATATTTTTTATAAAGATTTTTTATTAAAGAGAATATCGTTTATTGAATATTTTAGACGGTATCGATAAAAAATGTTTAAATACTTTATTATTGATACAAATTTACAATAAAATGATTCTTGACTAAACTAATTCGAAACTTTATAAAATATACGAAAAAACATTGTATTTAAAATTATATTTAATTATTAAGGTGGTGTAATATTTTTTATTGTGTTTAAGCAGATGCAGCCGTAATATTGCCTACATTAAACATATTCAATAAAAATTATTAAATATCACAAATGCTAACATCTACATTCATGAATATTGTGATTTTTACTGGCAATGAATTTTTAAGCTATCTCATTGTAATTTGAGACAGCACTGAACTGGCTATAAAAAATAATTGCTATCGAAAATATTGTGGACAATGGGAATTAAAATTATTTAGTAGGTTAATTAAGATTTAAATAGATTTTATTTTACAAATATCAGTTGTACATTGATTAATTTTATTTGTAAATTTAATCATGAATTAAATAGCGTATACTTATATCAGTGTAAAAGTTTGATAATTTGACGAGAAGCATATAATAAGTAAAACTCAAATACAAATACTTTGTTTAATATTCAATATTCACATCATTTTAAATTCAAATAATTTTAAAATAAAATATTTATATTCGTTTGAATATATTAAAAAATAGAATATTCCTATTAATTATTATATTTAATTAAAAAATGTATTGTATAAATTTAAAATGCTCTATTAGTTTAGACAAATACATTTTTTTATTTTATCAAGAAATTACACTATTTTCATTTATCGTTTGGGCTTTCTTATTGAAGTTTGTTTTTTATTTTTTTTTTTTTAGTTAATTTTTTATATTCAAAGTGATTTAAATAAATCATATTATAGCTCATAATAAATCATATATTATTTCTTTCTCTTCGAAAAGAAATAATATGTTATGTTCTATGCAAATTAACTTTTATGTATATTATTTTACATTTATTATAATTTCAATTATATTTTATATATATATATTTTTTTTTTAATCTAAGTATTAATGTGTAAAATTATTTGATATTAAAAATACATAATTAATCAGTATCAATTGGATTTCTAATATTTATAAATATAACATTTCATAACTAACATAAATGAAGAAATTCTTTTTTTTAATTATTATATGAATTTATAAATTTTAAGCTATATATTTTAAAGTATTGAATTTATTGCTCTTTGTTATTTATGTTGTTGATTAATTTTAAGAGTTAGTGGCAACTAATCATATTAAAATGTTTTTAAATATTTCGAAGGAAAGTATAATATAAGAATTTTTTTAAATATATTGACTTTTATTTTTTTACTATATAATTTTCATTGGAAAAATTTAATGATAAATAATATTTCCTATTTTGTTTAATTGATTAATTTATTTTTTATTCAATGCTATATATGCTTTGTATTCTTTTGTGTAAAATATTTAGTATGTAGGATATAAATAGTTGTACCGCTATTGATTTCTTTTTGCAAGTCTACCCCATATCTTTGAATCTAACTCTGATATTTAATATAACAAAAAATAGCTTAACTGTATTAAAGTTTTATTTGAATTTTATAAATTAGATAGTTTTTTATTAAGAAGATTCTAATTAAAAAATTATATTTATGCTGAATAGTATTGAATAAATTTATATATAGCCTGTTTTTAATCTGAATGTTCAAATAAAAATGTATGTCATTGCAATAACTACTTTCACATTTACAATGAAATTATATTTGAATAATTATAAGTAAAGTATTGCTTTTAAAATCCGACAATGTATTCCCGGCATCTCACCTTTTGGAGATTTAAGGGATCCAGTTAGGTGAGAAGGCTGGAATCCAGTGGGACTTGGAACTTGAGTGCCAGTCGTACTCGGCGGACTTTTTGCCGGGCCCGTTGGACTAGGGCTCTTCTTCAGATAGTGACCCTGACTGCCCGGACTCTTGACCGCGGTTGGCTTTCGATGAGGCGGTCTGAAGGCAAGTGACTTGTCTATGCCTAATTTAGTGTGTTCCCGACGCCGTCGACACAGCCACCAGGTCATCAGAATTGCCGTTACGACAAAGGCTGCACCGACGCATACGCCGATAAGAGTTGACGTTGGCACTGTAAAGGCATCATAAAAGGAAGGATAATTTCTTTTTTTCAGTTTTATGGAGTGTATAGAAAGCCTATATAACGAATTATTTGTAATTATTATTGTTTTATATTGTGGCACAGTGCTCTCTAAAAAGTAAATTAAGAATTAATTATGCAGATATAAGAATTTGTGCTTTACAAGCATTATCTTTGAATTAATTTTATGAATATAATCTCTGCTGTTTGTTTATTTTACTATAATACATCAATCATTTTCAATGCGAGACTATATTATAAATATTTATGAATATTACTAAATATTAAGAATTAGTAAATATTTTTCAATGTTTACAAATATTTACTTTATTACAGAAGCGACTATTTTTTTAAGAAATAAATTCGTTCAAGTATTAACATTATTATTTATTTATGGCTATTAATAAATTTTATCGTATATATTTTCTTTTTTGTATTGATCTATAAATTTTTATCTACCAATTATTTTGTTCAAATTTCTTTTTTACCATTCATTTTCTTATTTCTAAGTTCATTATTCATTTATTTTCTAACTTCTTGTACTAATTTTAATGTATTTTCTATTTAACTTCTTAACTTTGGCAATTAAATTTCTAAAGTATTAATTAATGAATTATAATTATACAAAATTTCTGTTAATTTTCACATCATTTTTCTATTCTCTATGAAATACCAGATTGATTGCCGAAGTTCATGCTATTTGCCTGTTGAATATATTATGTCGGATAAAGAGAGTGAGAAAGAGAGTAAGTCATCATAGAGATTAGAGATTCTTATTTTCGGACAGCAAATAATTCTGCCTCTTTATCACTAACCAATGTCAAAAAACAAAAGCTTGATCCTTTCATTATACCTGCAAGAATTCACGGAATCATTCTGCGATTACAGCTTTCTCTCTTGAAAGAAAATAGTAGGAGAGACATAGCCATGGTTATCTTAAAATTCAGTAGTTAACAGGAAAGAAGCTTATATTTATCTGTATACCATGACTCGAGGACGAATATCTATCAAATAGATTACTTTACCATTACAAATAGTTCATATTTAAGCGATATTTACATATTAAGTCACGCCTCTTAGATTAGTTACTTAGCTTCTTAAACTCACTTATCGAGAATACAATTTCGCAAGGAATCGATAATAGATATTGAATTGTGACGTAGCTACATCATCTAATTTTTTAATTTATTTACATCAGTATCATCATAGTTTTTCATCTAATTTTTTACTTTTATAGATACTTCTGCTTCGGGAAGTCTTGAAATAATTGAAATTGCTGACATAATATTTTAAATTTCTATTATTAATAATTTCTACGACTCAATTTCTTTTTAAAACTGTAAATAAAGTTTTAACATATTTTACATAAAATTGATGAAATTTTTAATTGGTGGTTGGATAATTTAAATTTATTAATGGATATTCATTACTTTTTTTATTGAGTTTTAACAATTACATAATTGCATAATTATATGCTTCGTATTTTTAAACTGCATCCATATGCCTTATAAATCTAATAATATAGGGTATTAAAAAAAATGAACTATATCCATTTTTTTCACCATTGAGAATAAATTATAATATTATATTATATACTTATCAATATATGAATCATATAAATACAATGTATAAATTATTTATTTCATTGTAGTAATATATAATGTCTATAGTCTCAGGTAGTCTTTCATTATTAACTTAGACGTTTGAAATTAATTTGTTTGTGAAATTTTGACAATGTATATCTTTCCATTTTTTTAAATAAAATTTTATAAGTTAAAGTTATAATTGATAAATTAAATATGATATGTTAATTGACATTTAGACATGTTATATTTAAAGTAATTATTTTTATAAAACTAAGCTTTTCGTAAAGTCGGAAATTATTAATGAAAAAAAGTACAATACATCAAAAACAGTAATAACTGATGTCTTATTATCTGTTTGTAAAAACTAAATTAAATTCAAGACTTTATATTAAACAGATTTTTTAGTTAATTCTAGATAAAACTGTATTAATAAAATAATGTTTATTAAGAGAAAGCATATACTTTATAAATTAAATACAATACAGAATAATATTTATATTAGTATTTTTTTATAAATTTTTATAAATAATAACCCTATAATATTATAATGTACTGGGTATAGTAAATTTATCAAAATGAAATTTTTTTTAAAAAAAAGTGGATGTGAAAAAATATAAATTTGTTCGTAATGAAATAGAAAATATTTTGTATTCTATACTTTTCGTCAAAATACTCTAGTAATATATGATGATTATATTTTTAAGTATCGATAACAACTAATATTTCTGTATATTTTTACGTAGAATTATTTTCGCATAAGTGAAAATATTATAAGTATTCAATTAAATTGAAGATAAATTGTATGAAATTAATATGTCGATAGCAAATATAATAAATAAATTTATTTTGTCATTAACCTTCTGAGAATTTTTTCTTAGTATAAATAAAAACTAACATTATTTTACATCTTTAATTTATATTATTTAAATTAAACATCCATTTTTATGCTGCAAATAGCTATGCTGACTCGGTTCCTGTATTTCCTATGACAATCGATCCTAGAATACTAAGTGTAACACCAGCATCAGTATTATGTTATACTGCATCGATGCAGTGTAAATTGCATAATAGCTCATTAGCATGTCTTCTAGCAAAATATATTGTTTACTTTGCTTACACACGGGTAAGTCCACTTTTCGCACTTCAGTTCCCCGTCACTACATCCCATAAAACAACAAGGGGTGTGCGCTGGGTATTAACCCAATATCACGGATGGCCGGGCTCCTGAAGTCCCGTAAGAATGGGCATTATCGGCTTTCCAGTATGCTTCTGCAAAGCATATTTTATGAGATAGCGATTACGATGATGAAGGAAAATTCTCAGAGAACTACTTCTTTCTTCTGCATTTCCACCTTATTAATCCCTTTCGTGAACATGCTAGTCCAGAAGCTTTTCCCACACTCGATACATCGCTTGCTCAAGTGATAGAATTTTTTAATTAACTTTTCAAGTCTTTAGACTTTTTACTTTTAGCTTTTCTGCTTATCGTATAATACACTCTTTGCAAATTAGAAAGTAAGTTTCGATCAAGTATCAGATCATTGTTTTTTATAAAGTTTTATTGAGTTAATTATTAATGAGAAAAGAACGTTTTATTTAATTAAAAACGAAAGAGAATTTTATTGTGGGAATTTTTTACTTTTGTAAACGATTATTATTATGAAAATTACATGTTAGTTACGTATGAAAAATTTAAATAAGAATGTTCTTTTAATCTAAATTTTACTCTAATTGCATTGGCCAATGTTTCCATATTTTAGAATAGATATACATTATATACGTCGCTAATATGTAATCAAATTTTTCACGCTGAAATTTGTATTAAATTAATGTATGTTGAAATTTAATTTGTTAATATATAGATTTTGTTTAAATTGAAAGTTTGTATTTGTAAATACTTATTTAAATACTAGCTATCGACTTACTTCTAATAGATTATTGTTATCCACGTGCACATAATTAATTATTTTAAACGCCAAATTCACAATATAAATTTAGAATTTTCATGTAAAATAAAATCGTACTCTTGTATTTATTTATTATATTATTATAAAATTATAAATTTAACATACCACTTGATATAATTTGTAAACCCAATAAGCTATTTACAATTTCGATTTGAAAATAACTTCATTTAATTTACATTGGTGATTTAAATTTATTATGTTCGGTATAAAATAATTTTTTTAAGGATTGATTTTTGAATGAGCATTTTACTAATTTATTTTTCAGTACATTTAAACATTCAATGTAATCAGTATAGAATTTTGTTACGTTTTAATTCAATTTTTAAATAATTTAATCCGAATACATTTTAATAATAGTAGACGCAAATATTAAAACTGAAGGTTTATAAATTGCAAATATTCTAAAATTAAAAAGTATATTAAAATTAAAATTACATCCTGCTTTAAAACGATTAGCTTAAATTTCCATAATTTTAATTTAATTTACTAATAAGTGTTTAAAATTCATTTAATTTATATGTTATGAAATTAATAAATACAAATCATTATAAATGTTAATATACATTGTTTTTTTTTATTTTAAGCAATAAATATATAATTAATATATAAGATTTTAATGTTCGGATTTTATATGAAATTTTATTATATAATTTTAAAAAGGTGTTTAACAGCTTTTCACAAAATATTATGTACATTATAATATTCTTACATTATTACATTATCGTATATATAAATTCATATTGATAAAAAATAAGTACATGAAATATCAATAACGAAAGCATTATTAATGTAAATGTGTACGCATACACATATATATATATATATATATATATTTAATAAATTTGTTATCAATTCAAAACCCTGATACAAAAAAAATCTGTATTTATAAACTATACTAATTTTTTATTTCAAATGTCAAGAAGTGGAAAGAATTAAATTTTTCTAATATTTTTAATCTAGATATATTTAATAACAAGATAAAATTAAATTTTACTTTATGACGAAATTTTACTTTACAAAGTAAGTCTTAAATAATATAGAAAATAGTAAGAAAATTATTTATCTTATCTTTGTATCTTTGAATCTTATCTTTGATCATCTCATTTTTGAGACATTGATATTTTTATATCACACCATACTCTGGCCCTAAAATTCTAAAATTTGATATAGGATAATAGATCATTATAATTGCAATTATTGAAAAGGAGGTGAAGAACCGAAATATAATTTCACGAGCAATGAAAGGAAAATATACATACGGAAATAAAATGGTGACTCACCAGACTCCACTGGATGTATTAGCGGGCCATCCTCCACGATACCGCCGACCATAGTAGCGTTTGGAGATGATTCTCTACCCCGAGGAGAAGACTCCCCTGCTCCCGCACTATACTTGGAGGACGTGAATGAACGAAGGTGAACACGTACGCAACGATTTTTCGCACTCCACGTCAACGACTAACCCAGCGACGATCTGAAAGAGCGTGCGCGCGACTTGTGATTCCCCGGATCAATAGACCAGTCCTGGGCGACCGGACTTGCGCCATGCGTTTTAAATTATATATATATATACTTCAGAATAGACAAAAAGTGTTAACGGGCGACGTTTAACGCTGATGATCTACCTGATGAAAATAAGAGACCGCTTTTCGCTTCCTCCAGACGAGACATTACAAGTCTTAATTAAAGAACTTTAATTGATATTCTATACTTATCATACTGGACTAGTATTTTTTAAATAAAACATTATTAATTCTAAATTTATTATTGGTTTCAACAGATTCGGATGCTTTTATAAAATAAAATTAAATGGTCATTTTTTTCTTGAAATTTACTTCACAGTAAATACAATTTCACTTATTTCAATCTTCGTTAATATATTTTCTTATGAATTTGAAAAATATTGAATTATATTTTTATCCTTATTAATAAGTAATATATTTCAATGATTTTGGAAGGCAACAGGAGAAATTGTTAAATACCAAAGAAAAGTTCCCTGGAACTTCTTAATCTTTTATTAAATGTATTAATTATCGTGCCTATATAATAATTTCTACCTTTTTTAAAAATCATTACAAAATTAAATTCATTATATTTATATAATATACAATTATCAAACTAGCCGCCAAGCAATTTCTAAATTAATTTATCTAATATTAAAATTATCTGCTTTATTCTAGTAAAATTTGTATAGATATTACATTTTATACAACTTTTTATTTCCGAAAATGGAACAATTAAACATTTTTTAAATATGAAAACTGTAAGTAATTATTTTTTCAAAATTTGTCTTATTGGAATGAATATTAACTCTGTTTAAATATGTTAAAATATATTTTAAAATTCATTGTTTCAAGATTTCATATAAATTTATAGTACTTTGATTTTAAAATTAATTATAATTTCACAATACGTCAGCTTATATTATAAATCTACTAATATTTATAGGTTTCTAAAACATATTATTTAAATATTTTTTACATTTTATATATACTGGGATCAAATTGTAGGATGAAATGATAGATTAACAGGATAAATTTTTAATTAAAACAAGATATGTTTATTTAAAAAACGAAATTTTTTATCATGTTATATCTTATTACATATATTTTTGTATTATAATCATAATATATTAATTTTATTATAATAATCTTAAATTATCAAATCTTTTGATATATAGAACGCTTGTATGAATGAATATATGTATAAACAAATATATTTTATAGAATAGATATAAAACTAAAATAAGTATTTAGATTTATAATATAAATTGTACTTTGAGAAAGATTACATTTACAAGGTAATGAAATTAATTTATTTTATAAATAAGATACGGCTATTACTTATTAGAATTTACATTATAATTAATATTATGTATTTTTTAAATAGCTGTTTAAATCCTAGAAATAATTTTTTCACATTAGTTAGTTCATTTCTAAGTAAAAAGGATATTTATTTTTAAATAAATTGTTTAATAAAAATATACGTCTATCCGAGTTTTGATAAATTTTTTTTTACTTATTGCAATATACATTGCGAAACATGGAATTAGTCATTGTTCTCAAATGCTTACTTCTAATCTAATAGCTGATCACACAAAAACTGAAATAATATAAAATAATATCTTGAGAATAACATAAAATGCAGAGTTTGTTCGATATAGATTTCAATTTATTTAAGCTGTTTTACCGATTTACAATAAGTATTTCCAAAATTTTAATATTTAAACACGTAAAATTATAGAAATAGTTAAATTAACGATTTTCAAATTAATTACCACTTAAAATATTATAGTCCTTCACATGAAATTGAATTTATTATTAAACTATAGATAATAAACTGTTGAATTGATAATTCTAAAAATAAATTTATTACATAATTAATTATGCCTAAGATAAAAAGAAATTACATAAGATAAAAAGAAAACTTTTCAGCTAACGATACAAATTTGTCAGTAAAAGTAAAATTATAAAAATGTATGGTAATTTTTATAGGAAGAAGTAAGGAGCAGAATAACGATATATCCGTCAAGTAAATCCTTTTTATTCGCAAGCAGTGCTATTTACAAAGCCACTCCAAAAGGGCGCTCACGCACGTGCGACTTCTTGATCTCTTCGTAGGGAAGCAACACTATATTAGTACATATTTAGTGTTATTTACAGAGTTACTTTCGGTATAAAATATAATCGTGTAGATTACAGCATTTATTTCAACAATATATTTGTTCCTATAGTAACTTTAATGTGACAATGTTTATTTTATTTTAATTTGTTATTTTCATTTAGTAATAATTTCGATTTTGATATTTTACATATAGTATTACTTACACTTGCATAAAAATAATCTTTATAAGTTTAAATTTAATTATATATATATAAATATATAAATATAAAAATAATGATATATTTCTTGCATCATATTATATAAGAAGAATTTAACTATAGAAAATCTAAGAATTGCATAAAAATTAAATAAATGGTCCCATTTAAAATATTTTCAAATTATTTAAAGGTATATATAATAATAAATTGATCTTTGATAATTAGACTAAAAGTAAACCTAAATAAATATGTTAACGGCACATAATTTTTGTCACTATTTAGGAATGAAAAAAAATTATCTTGCTCGGGTGTGATTCTAGTTTGCAGAGTGTGTGAATTGCATTCGAGATTACTCACCATCGAGTTCATTTCCGTACGTAAACAAATCCATAGAGAAAGTAGGAAACCAGTGACTGATTACCGGAACAAAATTTACGTTCAATTTCAGATTTTGATTTTGCTCTCTTCTCTCTCTCTCTCTCTATCTTTCTATCTCTATTGTATATATATATATATATATATATATATATGTATGTATATATGTATATATGTGTAGTGTTTGAGACAGAAAGAACTGTTGCTGTTGCGAATTTATATTATATCATTGATTTACATTACAGTTCAAATGCAAATACAAGCTATAAAACTACGAAAGTGGTGATCCACTCTTATTTATTTTTTCCTGTATCTTTTTAAAGAAAGATTTAATACAGTGTATTTTTAGTTAGTAATGTCATATAGTTATATTAAGGAAAAACGCGTAAGAGAGCGTATATTATTTGCTATTCGAAAGATAACTCCCTTTCTCTCTCTCTCTCTCTCTCTCCGTCTTACGGTTGTCACTGTCTTCTGTTTTCGCATGCATACACATTCTTCCGTTCGATACAACGAAGCGCAGACTAAAATTTGCCGGTCTTAAGATGGGCTTGACGGAGTTTAAAATACATTTTGACAATCCTTACGCTACTTATTGTCCTGATCAAACGGTCACTGGCAACGTAATTCTTACTATCGATTCGACTAAGAAAATAAAAGGTAAGAGTCGTTATTTACTTTTTTTTATTATTCAACTGATTCTTGGAACTATATATATAGTTAAGTAATTGCGTAGCTCTATTTTTAGTGTTTATGCGTGTACTTGATATTCTTGATACATCATAAATGATTTAAAATGATTCATAATATTTTCGATTATTAGTCGTTTTAACTAGTTATAAATATAATATTTGTTTAGTTATTAACTGTAGATTTTTTATACATTTTAATAATGAATTATATTTTCAGCATGTCTTTAAAAAAAACGCAAAATCTATTTTTTGGGTAATTTAGTTATTAGTAACAAAGTAAAAATTTACTTTTATTCAATTTTTATTCAATTTTTCATTTTAATTTTTACAAGAAATTAAATTTCATATAATTTCTTAACCTTATTATTTTTAGCTATTCAATTACGGGTCAAAGGAGAAGCTGATACTTATTGGTCAACTGATAGGCAAGAACTAAATAATGATGGTCGGTACAGGACTGAAACAGATGTTGTTACTGCCCACGAGGAATATTTCAAGGCACAATTTTATATTCTTGGCTCTTCATCTGGTATAATGATCAGAATAAATGAAATTATTGCATTTTATAATAATAGTCTTTATATATCTTGTATAATATATTTTTAGGAGAACAAATAGAATTACCTTCAGGAACACATAGTTTTCCATTTAACTATGTTCTTCCACCAAATTTACCAAGTAGTTTTGAGTCAGATTTTGGACGCATTCGATACACAATGAAAGCAATTTTAGATCGCCCATGGAAATTTGATCATGAAACTAAAGTGGCTTTTACAGTTATCTCTCACTTAGATTTAAATCAACAACCAAATGCATCTGTAAACTATTTTTAATATTTTTATTTTTTACAAATTAATTTTTAAAACTAATAATTTCATACTACATATTCTTAGTTTCTATTTTATTCATATCATTATTTCTTTATTATAGGAACCTGTATTACTAGAAAAGAACAAAACATTTTGTTGTTTATGTTGTGGAACACCACCATTGTCTGTCAATATTTCACTACCTGTAAGAGGATATGTTCCTGGGCAAATGATACCAATTAAAGTAAATGTTGAAAATCAATCTGGAGTTACAGTAGAAACATTAAAACTCGTTCTCGAAAAGGTACATAATTGTAGGTTGTTTAAAAAATATTTCATTTTTTAGATTTCTTAATTATTGAACTGGTAATGATATACAAATAATCTTATTATAATTACAGATTGTTACTTATACTGCTACAACACCACATTCGGAAAAAAAAGTCGTCGAAAACACAGTAGCAGAAGTTAGTAAGGGTCCAGTTGGTGGTAATGAAACTACAAGCTATGAGCAAACTGTCAAAGTGCCATCTATACCTCCTTCAAATTTAAACAATTGTGGAATTATAGATCTTGAATATAAATTAAAAATAGAAGCTGTTGTTACAGGACTGTTAGTAAATATTATTTTATTAAAGACAAATTTTTGTATCAATAATTTTAAAAACAAATTAATGAATAATTTTATAATATTTATAGCTATTACCGAAATTTAAGGGATAGTACCCCCATTTATATTGGAACTATACCTTTGTCTACCTATCAAATACCGCAGCCTTCAGAAAAAGCTAAAGATATATATCCATTGCCTACAGCTCCTGAAGAATCGCATAATTACTCTTCACCAACATCAAATCTTTATCCTAATCTTGGTAACAAATATTCATTTATTTAATTGGAAAAAGTTGTTATTTATTAATTGAAATTATCTAAAATTATAAAATGTTATTCTATATGATTATTAATTTTTTATATTTTATTATAATACTTTATAATATTTATTAAATTTAATAAAAAAAATTAAACATTTCTTTTTAAATTTTAATTATAAAATCAATTATAAATGTTCAATTATAAATAATCTATTTGGTTATATGTTTCTAAAATATTATTTAATCTTACATAAATTAGTAATATTACTAGACATAATATCGATTAATTTTACAAACAATGTTTTATGATAGTCATAAATATTTTAAAGTTTAATTTAACTAAATTTGACATATTAATCTTCTTATTTATTTTATTAATATTAATTTCTTTGACAGATTAATCTAAGACAATGAATTATTAATACAGACATTTTGAATTTGAATGTTAAAATTGATTGATCTTATCGATAAAAAATATTCATTGTAAAATAAAAACAAGTACCAATATTAAGAGCAAATTAAATCAATTTTTTAATAATCCTTTCTAATGAGATATTTATATAATATTCACTAAATGTATTTTAGTATGATTATTTTTATTATTAAAATGTCTTTCATAGTTTATAAAAAAAATTGTATGTTTCATTTTAGCTCCACCATCTTACGAAGAATCTATTTATCGCGCTCGAAGTCTTCGAGATCGCGAGGAATCAGATTATGTTATAGGAACTGGACATAATTTTGCACCCAGATATCCAGTTTATAATTTTAAACCTTCACAATTATAGTTATTTTTTCCTTCCAACTAATGAATAAAATTATTGTGATATTAGAATCATCTTATAAACTATAACAAAGCTTTTTTAATCAACGAATTAAATTCAAACTTTTAATTTCTTATATTATATTATAATAAATGTTTTTATTGATACGTAAATATAAACATGAGATTTTTTGTGATTTTTATAAGATATATTTAATGTAAACATCTACTATAAACGTATTTTCTATTTCCAACAAATGTGTATATTCTTAAATATATGTACAATATAAAAGTGAAATGAGTTATTGACATTTTTTATTCCTTATTTGATGTAAAAAATTATTTAAACGTATTATTTAATAGTGACGATTGTATTCTTTACTTTCGATTACGTTACTTCATTATTATTGTATTTAATTTTCCCGGTATTTTATATAAAAAACTTCAGAGTTTTAAAATAATTCAATAGATTTACATTCAGATATATATCTAGAAAACTTTTACTCTATGGTTAAAACAAAACTTCCAGATTGTAAATAAGACTCAAAGATTATATTTCGTATGATATAGTGCATCTAAGTTTATTGCTTTTCCATGTTCTCCCCTTTCATTGATGATTTTCCCGCGGATTTCGGTGATACTCGGGTACGTTTTTCTTTATGGTCTGCATACCTATCAAGTTAATTTACTAAAGGATTGTAATTACGTGGAATTAATTGTAAATTGTATAATCGTAAAAGTTCTTTTATCGTATGTGACAAGTGCCGAATTGAATAATCAATCATCAGTGCACTGGGATATGGAATCACAGTGCACACGAAAGGCTCGTGCTTTGCTTAACTAAATCTATATTTTTTTTTTTTATGTAATTAAGAGATAGAGTCCTGTATGGAGATTCTATTTTGTGTATTTAATTAGTCTTTTGCGTTCATTTTACATTTAATTTATTTTTACATACTGATTTAATAATAACAAGGTGTAATTATTGCCCAATAGACAATTTTAAAAGGTTGTAGAAATGTAGTTCTTCATAATTTTCAGTTTTTATTGTAATCTTATTTTATTTTATAAAAAATTATGTAATTCTGTATATACATTTTTAATTAATATTTATAAATTTAATAGATCAAAATTTATCCTCATTGTAACAAAAATTTAAATGTATATATATATATATATATATATATATATATATATATTTATAAACTTTTAATTCTACTTAAAATAATGAGTCATAAGTTATTAAATGCAGAATAAAAAACTTGATATATATATATTTTTTCTTTAAATTATAAATTAACATGTATAAAGAGCTATAATATTTGTGTTAATATAGTATTTTATATACATAATTAATAACTTGTCCATTTAGTTATGAAAATTATGGACTTATTGGGTGAAGATGAAGAATGCCAAGTTCAAGGAGTTTTTAGATCAAAAAATAAAACGAAACAAGGTATATATATTATTATTATTATTATTATTTATTGAATATTATTTTATTATATTTAAAAATAAATTAATCATATTACAGCAAGATTACCTTTTCAATCATTAAGGACTGATTCACCAGTTGTTAATAAAAAAAGGAAAACTTCAGCATCAACTGATTGTAGAAATGTAAAACACCCTAAAGTTAATACTAAAGAAAATTCATTTGAAGTATCAGAAATGATTGAAATGGAAGAAATAATTATTGAAAAAGAAGCTATAAATGATAACGAAGAAAATAATACTAGTGAAAGTGATGAAATGAAAGATTGTTCAAAATCAATTACAATAACTGAAACTCAAGATTTAAAGAATATGAAATTAACACCTCAAAAAGGAATGGAAAAAACTAAAAAACCTGAAATTAAGGATCAAGCAAATTCTTTAACAAAATTCTTTAAAAAAATTGATAATAAGGATAAAATTAATAAGAAGGAATCTATTTCTAAAAGTAAAGTAGAGGATTCTGCAGCAAATAGTAATAATAGTAAGTCAAAGGAGAGTTTAGAAAAATTTCAAGATTTCAAAAATCAAAAAACAAAACAAAATAAAAACTCTAATGGCGTGGAAGAAACTTTAAAAAAATCAAATGATATATGTAGAATGAATAAAGATTCTAATAGTAAATTCAAAGAGTCCACGATTACAAATAAAAGTAACCCACAGTCAAAACAAAACACAAAATCTGATGATGTAAAAATTAAAAGTAATATTTCAAATGTTAAATTGCAACAATTGCAGATAGGAAATGCTACAATAAATGAAGCAGACAAAACGAATCTGAATTCAGACATTAATTTACATGCAAATAATAGTTGCGAAGATGATGACGATGATGAAGATGGTGACGATTCTAGCAAATCAGATACTGATACCAAGAAAACAGAATATGAAAATAGTGATAGCAAAGATGATAATAAAATTACAGAATCCGTGGAAACTATTCCGACAAGAAATTGTTCAGTAAAAATCAAAAGGCTAACTCCGAAGCAAATAAAAAAAAAACTAGAAATTCAAAAGAATCGTGAGAATAGAGAAAAGCAAAAATTTGTATGTGGATTATTTTATTTCAGAAAATTTGCGTTACTACAGTTTATAAATATTGAAATAATAAGTAATTATCATATTGTAGGAAAGAGAAAAGAAATTACTAGAGGAACGAGAAAATAAAAAAAAAGAGAAAGAGGAGAAAAGACGAGAGCGTAAAGAAAAAGAGAAAAGTTTAAAAGAACAGAAAAAAAAAGACAAAGAATTGAGAGAGCTTAAGAAGCAAGCTGAAATAGAGTAAGTGTGCTGATTTTTTTTAAATATTTGTATTACATAATTTATATTTGTTAAACTTAAGTTAATATAAAATTAAATTTGTATTATTAATGAGTACAGACAAAAATTAAAAGAAAAAGAAGCAAAAGAAGAAGAAAGAAAGCGGAAAGAAGACGAAAAATTAGAAGCAGAAAGAAAAAAATTGAAAGCAGCATCTAATTTTGTAAGTTTTTTTGTAGCAAAGAAACCAATGGAATCAAAACCAGAAGAAGAAAGTAAAATTGAAAGAAGTAATTTTATGCCTTTTGAAATAAAGGCTGATATGAGAGTAGCTCCTGTCATAAGAAGAACTTTAAATAAACATGAAAAGATGAAATTAGATGAAGTAATTGGAAGGAGTGACATAGATAGAAGTAAATTATACATAGATAAAATAAAAACTGAAAAGTTTAATATAAAAAAGTCTGGTAGAACGTGGCCCTTCGAAGCAAATGATGATATTATTATAATAGGTAATGCATTTATAAATATATCATTAAAAATATTAATTATTGTATACATAATTTCTAATGTAATTTAATTATCATTTTATATTAGATGAAGAAGAAAGTTCAAACGTTATTCAAGCAAGCAACACTGAAGTAGAAAAACACCGCGCAAAATTCTTTTTATTTGAAGAAAATCGTCGACCACCCTATTGGGGAACATGGCGAAAAATCAGTAGAACCATTAATCCTCGTAGGCCATTTGCAATGGATACAGTGAGTATACCTTATATCTTACAAAGATATTGGAGTTCCATAATTAATACTATTGATTCAAAATACTATTTTAGTCAAATACAGTATCATAATTAAGTAGGGTTTATATAAATATATATTTATATGTGTATATGTGTATATGTGTGTGTGCGTGTGCGTGTGTGCGTGTGTGTGTGTGTGATTGCAAAATATAATCAACGCAGATTAAATATTATAATACGCACTACTAATTGTGTAATAAATAAATGAATAAATAAATAAATATATATATTTATATATATATATATATATATATATATATTAATTTATAAATTAAACATACTTTTGCAGTTATTATAGTTTTTTAAAATTTGAAATTTCTTTAATTCACTAATGGATATGTTTGTATATTTAATCTACCTTATTCAAATATTTAATATTTTATTTACTATCATTCACAAATTGCTATAAGAACATAATTTGTATTAAAATTGAATCAACTTTCATTCTTATTTTTCTTCTAGTTCAATAATTTTATTGATGAAGTAGCTTTGAGTTAATTTTAATACTTACAGGATAAATTAATTTTGTTACAAATTAAATAATACATATCAGTAATATTTTTATTTTTGGAGCCAATATTGTAAATTTAACCGTCTAGTTACATTTGTGTCTTTCTACCATTAACATTGATCTACATATAGTTTAATGTGCATTAAAAAAATTTGATTTAATTGGTAATAAAAACAACTAAAAAATACTCTACTTGAATGTTATATATTTCTAAAAACCTGAAAATTAAAAAAGGAGTGAAATGGAAAAAAGGAAGTAAATGAAAGAAAAAATAAATCAAATTAAATATCTTAGTAGAATGATAAACTTTAATGATATAATAAGAGAAACGAATTACAAAAATATTATATTCGTAAAATAAATATTTAAATGTTATCTATAAAATGCAAATCTCTTTATTATTAAGGTGCAATTTAAAAAATTTACTATTGATAGAAAAATATTCATCTATAATAGTTTTATAAATTGCTGAACTAAAAACTAAAACATGAACGAAATTATATGTAACAACATTGTAAGTTAATTACATTAAGTAGATATAATAAAAATTAGTTACAATAAAATGTTACATTTTAAGTATAGTATTGGTGGGTCAAATATTCCAAAGACATTGAGAATACAAGAATATGTAATTCTACATGATTTACGGTATTCAAAATATAGATCATAATTCTTGAGTAATAAAAATCTACTAATCAGGTATTATTTATATTTTTCAACAGTATTTTTTTCAAATAATTTTATGAATATTGTAATTATTAATTATTGTTGTATAAGAATTAAAACAATTATTATTAACCGACAATTTTCAAAATATACGATATCCAATAAAAACCTAGACTTTAGTTAAATAAAATTATTTCTTAAAATGTTATAAGGACATTTATTTTAATTTATACATTTTCATTTTTATAGAGATTTTATAAAGTACGTTAATTACAAATAATCACATAAAAAAATCTTTTCTCAATTTAAATGACAATTATTTAAATATTAATTATATATTCATACATTAAATATTTTTTTATTAACATTAACTATCGACTTTATTTTAAATATTTATATCTTTTGCGAATATAGCTGTTTGTTATATAAAAATTTCAATTAATATAAGGTCATACCTGCATGCTTAAATATTTATCATTTTTCTACAATTAAAATATTTGAAGTAATCTGATTATTAGGAATCATAATTATACATTACCTAACCAACATTAAGTAATGTGAATAATAAGTAATTTTATCTTCATTTATTCATTAATAGCCATTTGCTTATGAAAAGCCAATTTAAATATTCAAATTTGTGGTCACAAATTCATTTCCGTTTCGCATTTTCATAATTATTAGGAAATAATTAGGAAATGGAGAACTTAGTACTGAAATATTCAATTAAATTTTTTTTGTGGATAAATTATTTGGAAATAATGTAATGTATAAGCTGACTATACTACTATATAAATTGACTATACTTCTTTAATTTCTGTCATATAATTTAAAACTATACTATTTGATAATGAAAGCTTTTAAATATACAATATTAATTTATATAAACAATAAAAATGTAAAAAAGTAAAGTACAAGACCGTGTTATCTATCATGAGTCAAAACTATGTAATTATCATTTGCATGCTTATTACTTAGAATTTTGTTTCTTTTACTGAGAATATACATTAAAATTATCAAAGGCAGTGTTATTCCTGAGATAAAGATATTGTATTTGCAATTTTTTCGATAAGTCTTATTTATTTATTTATTTATTTCGAGCATTGTTGCTAATTTGAAACAAAATAATCCTTATTTACAGCAAATACAACACGCTATCGACATACCGTTTAAGTGTAATAATAAAGATACGTTGCTTATTTATAGCATCAGACTTTGAAGTACACAAATAACGTTACTTTGCCAAATAGATCTTCGTTTAATAAAATATTTATCGCACAACAATTTACAGACATATATAGCCGTTCCTGTTTATAATAATAGGTCGTATAATCTATTTGTCGTTATAATTTCTCTTCTTTGTCATTAAAATTGCCCATCTTATTGATTCACTTCTCATTTCTGTAACACTCTTTATATCATGATCCGCAAGCTCGTCTATCCGCGCACTCGAGGCACTCGTCAGATTATTAGGATCAAATTCGGCCGAATTCTCGGTCGCAAGGCTATTTCTTAATAATCGAGTTGTCTTGTACGGCTACGAGAATCCTGGGGCTAAAGTAGTAGACGTTCTTGGAGATTGTGTTGATCAGGCCTCGGCCGGTAGTGCGACATTGGCTTTAGCCGCCCGGAACCCTCTGCCAGCTGAGAACAACGAGTTGTAGGTGTTCTTGCGGTGTACCTTGCGATGCTTGGCGAGGTGGTCGCTCCTTGCGAAGCGTTTGGTGCAGAGCTCACAGGCGTAGGGTTTGATTCCGGAGTGAGAGCGTCGGTGCCGAGCCAATTCATCTGAACGGCTAAAACGCCAACCGCACCCAGACCACGTGCACGCGAACGGCTTTTCACCTGTGTGTCTACGCAGGTGGGCTTTCAGGTGCGAAGCTTTCGCGTATACCTAATTAATGAGAGAGATATTATTAGGATAAGGATGGTTGCAGATCTTAATGCTGAGGTTTAAGGTTTTTTTTTATTCAGTCGTGTTTGTGTTTCAAGGCAATCGCAAGACTCTCAGAATTTTACAAGCAGGTTTACGTTTATCTTTCGTATTTTCACTTTAAACACTATTATTAAAATTTTATATCAAGCTGCAAAGAGTTATTGTTTATTTTTGGAATTAAATTCATTAAGAGAAATTTTAAAAAATTCGATAAATATTTTAAAATTCAGATTAAATGAGAGGATCTTTTTGAAAATGATTAATTTTTAATAATACATTATTCACCTTTGTACAGCCTTCATATGTACAGGGAAAACAGCGATCTTCGGTTGTATGAATTAAGTTGCGATTTGTGTAATCGTGAGTTGCCAAAGCTGCGTCAGCTGCATTTGCCGTAAGATCTTCGTTAGTTTGATTATTATTAAAGTCTAAACAAATTATTTTGTTTTAAACTGCATTATAATATACTAATATTACAATATAAATAAAACATAAATATGAACTGCATAGAGTTAAATTGAATTAAATCAAAATTAAAAGAAAACTTGATGAAAACTGAAAAAAAATCTACAACAGTTTAGGATATTTAATTCTTATTAATTTGTTTAATTTATTTATTCCTTTCACATATAATTGTTAGTAATGTATTAAAAATTTTGTGTTATATTTTAGATTATCAATTTTTAAAGCTTCATATCAATATTTTAAAGATATTTTTAAAATCGAATTGTCATCATTGTATGATTTAGTTACCTAGATTTATACCAAGGTTATTTTGTAGCGATCTGAGATCGATATCTAAAACTAATAGTGGCTCTTCGAACTGTGGTTTTGGTAATGGTAAGTGTAAAAAATCTTCACACCCTGGTGTGCAAAGTGGTGTTCTCATTGGTGGCAGTCCTACATTCCATTCTTTATCTAAGCACCACTCCAAATCCGACACTAAGTCACTTAATTCTCCTTAAAAATAATAACAGAATAATATTTATTATGGCTTAGAAATGTTATGAGTAAGACTGTAAAAATTAATAATTAATAAAGTCATCATATAAATAATTTATATTCATTTGCAACAATAATTTAACTCTCAATAATAATAATGTATTCATTTTGTAAGTGTTCATATTATATAATTATAAAAAAACTACCAGCCGGCGTTGAAATATTTGCAGTCCAATCATTCCAAGGAAGATCTGGAGAGTATATGGAATCCAAGTAAAAATCTTGCATACCGTTTGTTGGATTTTCTATATTTTCAAAAAAGTCTGAATTCTCGCTCGATGGAGTGGTGCAGGGTGTCTCATAATCCGAAAAAAAATTGGTTGAATTTGATGATAAGTCATGAGTTTCTGAAAATGTCGGACTAGTTTCAAGTCCGAGTGCCGAAAAAAGTAGCTCATCTGCCATCTGTCGAAATTCGATTCATTAGTAAAGTTTGTTTACAGTTTTATTAATTGCATATAATAATTGCTAAGATTATCAATTATAGAAATTGAATATTCGAATAATAACGTTTTTTTCCAGTACCTTATTTTTATGGTACGTTTATATGTATTGACCAATAACAGATTTATTTCAATTAAATTAATGACAAATCATATCGAACAAGAGTTTTGTGAATGTTCTCAAAATCAACTAACTACATACTATTTATTTCTTTACAATTTATTTTTAATATTGTAATGTTAATTAATATTAATATTATATATTTAAAATTATAAAAATTCGATTTTTCATTTATTATAATTTAGTTTTATAAAAATAAAAATTTTATTCTTTTTAAACAATGTTACGTTTTTAAACAATATACGTTTTATAAGTCTTATATTATTTATACTTCTTTTTAAATTAAATAAGTTATAAACAGATATTATTTATTCTAAACAAGAAATACAGACTTATTAAAGAAATTGAAGATGAAAGTAAATTTGAAATAATTGTAAACATTACACAATAACATTAGTATTTAAAATTCTATTAACATAAGATTTGTAATATTCTTAATAATCTCATATTATTTTTATATTAACCAAATTAATATTCAGATTATTAATATTAAGATATGTATATACATATACGCTCACGCACATGTGTATTATTCATCACATCAATGCAATATATGAAATGTACTACCTACATTAAACAATTTGCATTGTAAGTAAATAACGTATAAGCCAATAAATTTATTATTAAAATATTTTTATAAAAATTTCCTGGTTATATTTATATATAAAATTAAGCTCTTGCAAGTTTGCGTTTAGCTTAGAAAAGCTGTGAAAAAAGGATACAAAAGTCGTGGTGTTTAATTATATAGCAAATCGATAACATATATCATTATTTCCAATTTAGTTGAATCGATTAGTATATATATTTTATAAGATAAAAAAACTGGGTGTTTATATGAAGGATTTAATCTCTCAGCAATTTCGTTATTTTCCTTTAATAATTATTATCTGATAGTTAAAACTATTGTTTCATTCTATTTACCAAATCAAGACGTAACGATTTAGTCCATTTGATTGACCATTCAATTAACCCAGTTCACTACGTGACTCCGAGCCGCTTAAGATTCAAATATTACCCGCGAATATCACATATGATTAGGTCACTTTGAAAAGCAGCGTGGATGCAATCCCGACGTGAGATAGGTTTCGTGACAATTTAATTGTTTATCAGTGACAAAAATGAATGATTGTTTAGATTGATTGTTAATGTGTCTATTTTAAAAATTATATAGATCTCTATTTGTTACTCCTATCTGTGCTTGTGTCCTTGTGTTTTATGTGGATGTGGGCGAGTATGGGGATGGACGAGTAGAAATTTCTACACCTGCATGTAAACTGGAATATTTGATTAATATTTAATAATTAATCTTGTAGTTCAAACTATTTTATTAGTTAGAAAATAATTTTATTTTAAATGATTTAAGTGTAAATTGAGATATCAACTACTTTTATGTAATGAAAACAATAAGTTTATGACTTTTCAATGGTGATGATTGCTTTGCATATTATTTTATTCAATTTATTATGCGCATTTATTATATTTAACATGCTATACTCACATCAAATATAGAACTATCTTCAATCATCTTTAAATTATAAAACGAACGAAACGTAAAGCTTTCAATAAAGTCTTTTAAGACATAAAATCTCCAATTTTCTTATGAGCAGAAATTAGTCGTTAATTTTGTTTATAGTGTATTCCATTGCACAAAGCTACTATCATAAAAAGCACTTGTTAATATTGATCTGTATAGATGATGTTGCCGGTATGTTGATGTATTAAATCTTGTTATGTCAGCTTTTTTTAAACGGAAATGCGGCTAATGTTCAACTTTTTTTAACCTTGGCGGGTGATCGCTACGAGGAAAACAAATGTAGAAATAAAGAGGGGTAGTAGGCGTCGAAGCTACATGGGCGAAAAACGACAAGCCGGGCGATGAGCCCAACGAACTTTTTAGCTTTTTAGTATCACGTCGCACGCCCCAGAACGAACTGCGATTTCTGACCAGGAATCGAAGGAGTTAGAGGACGTTAAACGAACGAGCAAAAGCAGCTCAGTATAGTACATGTGATATCAGCTCTGTGCCATCCGGTGCCGTCACCGACCCGAGCGCCAGCCGCCAGCTCTCCATCCCCCGGGGACCGCACTGCCAGAGGGCCCCAACCAAGTGACACACACATAGAGAAAGGGAGAGAGAGAGAGAGAGAGAGAGAGAGAGAGACATAGAGTGAGTGAATGTGCGTACGAACGAATGAGAAAGAGATTTAGAGGGAAATTTGTAACGAGATAAGAAGAGAGGGAAGGCACATTTTAAGTTACTTGGTTTGTGACGAAAGAAAAAAAAATCAAAAAGAGAATGAGGTTTTTTACTATGCTGCTTCTGTAAAATTTTTATGAACTTCAACTGGTTATATATGTTGTAGTTTCTTTACCGATATATTCAGTTTTTCATTACGAAATTATAAATTTTATACAAATCTTCCATAATTTTGTTGATAATATCTTAAAACTGCTTTATTTATCGAATACATTTGATAATGACACAATTATTTTAGCGAGAAATTTGTTTCACTCTAAAAACTAATCTGGACTATTCATAAATATTGATCTAATATTTTTAAATTTACGTTATAATGAATAACCAAATTGAATTTAGAACTACAAATGATGAAGAATCGATAATGATTGATACGATTAAATATTGAAAGTACTAATGACGAGGAAGTTTATTGCTATAATGTATATCAGAAATTATTTTATAAAATATTGGATACATTATGAACTCTTGTTAATGATATTTGATATCTCTTCAAGTATTAATAATGTAATATATAGAAAGTTCAATTAATACTATAATTTAAAAAACTATATAGTAATAAAATGTAATGGTAAATTTTAAAGCATTTATTTCATACCTAGAAATCTTTCAAATATGCAATACTATATACTGTCTAGTTATTGTATTATGCACTAAGTGTAGTGTAATATATATTGTAAATTAAGCCATGATTAGATACATTTGAATAATTTATAAATTACAATAATTGATATTAAAATGATAGGTTTATATTAAAAATACGCACAACCTTTAGTTAAATAAAGGTAGATTCACCTTTTCTAAGTTGCATTTTCTAAATTATATTGACTGTAATGCAATATGTCGTCGAAAGCTCGAAAAACATATTATGTTGCAAGAATATCAAAAAAAGCATTGATTCATCAGAGTATTTTATATTTTAAATATAGCTATCATATCATTAAGTCAGTGAACCGCATGATTTGGAAAACTGAGTATATATTACATATTATTATTAATAAAGTTGGAAATTCTGTAAATTCGATATAAATATATAGATTCGATGTAAGTTGATATTTAATTATGTAATGATATTTAATTCATAACTGTCAATTATAGTAGGAATTCAAGTCTAATATACAATTAAATCGGTATTAATATCAACGTTCATTATTGTTAGTATTTTATCTAGAGTGCTTATTACTTATTATCTTCTGATTCTTAATGCAGGTATAAGAAATTACAAATTTCAAAATTTTAAGATTATTAATTTAATATTATACAAAATAAATTTTTCCATTAATAAAAATTAGATAAAAAAGAAGATTCGTCAATTTTTCAATGAAATTGCAATTTTATTTTATATTAGAATATATTATTATCGAATAATGAATATTTTATTTGAAATAAACTTAATTTGTTCGCGTTTTCACTTCATGAATAAAATAATTTTAACCTTCTAATTAGTTTATTAGAAGAATAAATTTGAATTCTAATTTTCATATTTATTAGTTTACTTATTTTAATTTGAGTTTTTATTGTAAAATATTTACACAATTATAGTCATCTTATCAAAATTAAAATGAATGAAATTTTGTAATATATCAAATTAAAAATGCATTTATAATTATGAAGTAAATAAAGTAATCGGTTCCATAATTAAGAAAATTAAAATTAACATTCTAAAATTGCTAGACGCATAATATATTTGATTTTTTTTTAGATATTTTAAATTTATCCATGGGTGTTTTAATATCATTTATTTTTATAATTTTTACAGAAGTTACGATAATTTCGATAATTACATTTAGTACTTAAGATTTATTATATACGAAATTGGTGGTACTAAATAAAATTTTTAAAATAGAAATTATATTAAACAAAATGACAAGAATAAATAATAGCAAAATTCAATTCTAATTACGCTTAACAATGATGTATGTCTATAAGCAGATTTACATACGCACGCTTTTGTGGCGCTAATTGGATGATTAGTTCATGATATAAATGAGGGCAGAAACGCGAGTAAGTCCTGATAAACATCCTCGCGTTGTACCATTCTGTCATTACGTCTCATATCTCTTTAATTTTCTTTTTCAGTCATTTGTTATATTTAGCTCTTCTCTACTCTTTCTTTCTCATCTTTAATTCAATCGTTATTCCTTATCATTATTTAGTATCGTCACATGTAACATTTTTATGTTTTCTTTCTGTTTGGAGAAATTTTTTTGTATCTGTCTTTTAACTTCTTTCTCTCTCTTTCTCTCGCTTTTTCCTCATTCGCTTCAATTTACTGTGAAGCTGATCGAAGAGCTGAAGTGTGATTTTTTTTAACGTCGGCGGCGATGGTACGAATGGGATTCGGTTGCGATAAGATTTTTTTGCGGATGCGAAGTTTATTAGAAATTTGAGATGATTCCGTTGCGAACTCAGTCTTATCAAAGTACCGTAATTCCATGCTGATTTGTTGAAAAAATATAGTAAAATTGTTCTATAAGTTAAGTGCAACCATGATAAAATAAAAATTTTTTAAATTGAATTAATTGAATTTTAATTTAATGCATGTTATCATTACTAATATCTGGGAAGTGTTTCAGTATATAAA